GTCATTTTGACTGACAGGACACTGCTGCATGCCCAGGCTTCCGGCACTTCATGCAGACGTGGAGCCCTTTCTCGCATTCTCCGTCTTGGCATGGGTAATCACACTTCCCCATGTTGAAACCAAAGCAGATGCGTTTCCCCTTCTTCATTGGGGCGAGCCCCCACAACTCCTTAGGCATCTTCACCGGCATTTTCTTAGCCTGCGGCTGTGTAGGGGTGCCCTCCGTTTTCTTCCTCTTCCCAGGATCGGTTTCCTTCATCTGAGCAAGTTGCTCCTTCAGCTTCTGGTTCTCCTTCAGCAGCTTGCGTTTGCCGGCCCCTGGCTGTTGCGGCACTTCTTCAACTGCGCTCGAGGCAGCTGCATTCCTGCCCCCTGGCAAGGGCAAGAGGAGGGTCAGGAAATGCGGATCCTTCGAGACCTCTTCCATGAGCTTGTCCGCGATGCGATCACCATGGGCGTCCCTCCCAAGATCTCCAGAGCTCTTCTCGGCGATCATCTTCCATGCCCGCCTATCTGCTTCGGCCATCTGCCTCAGAGTGGTGCCAGCATACCCTGGAGGTGGTTCTCGCTGGTATTCCGTGAACAGCTTCTCTACCAACTTCTCATGCGCCGTGAAGCTCATGAGGTCTGCAATCTCCATGGCCAGGCCCCTCCTGACGTATGCTTGTCGCATACGCAGATCTGTTCTTGTGTCTGCATCTGGGGCCCTCGCCTCATCATGTGCTCGTAGGTGGCCTGAAGCATCACGTTTGATCAACTCCTCAGTCTTCACCGTTTGCAGCTCTTGGTCTCTGGTCGGGACCTCATGAGGCGGGATGTACTTCACGTCACCGTCCAACTTCATGGTGTGGCACTTGTCGACCACTGAGTGTGCTGGCTCCATGGCGTCTGCACTGAAGTTCATGTGGGGATATTTTGCCTTCACGGCCTCCCACCTCGACTTGCGCTCCGCCACCGGGAGCTTCCTCACCTTCGATGAGTCTTCAGCCCCTGAGTCCAGCTTGCTCCTCAGCTCAGCCGCCACCAAGCTGTAACACTCAAAGTACAGCTTTCTGATTTTCGGCACATCAATGTGGTCCTCGCTGCCCAGCAAGGGCATCAGAACCTTTTGACGGAATGACGTGTCGTCTCCGACCCCCCGAGTCCACGACGATGCAAAAGCAAAGGTTGACATCGTCTTCCAACCTTTGCCATTGAAGAGGAGCTGCAAGTTCTCGATGCCCAGCGCCTTCAACCTTGCCGTGAACACCGCCTCACTCTCGGTCAGCGATGCCATGGCAGACTCACTGCGCGCGCTGTCACTTGGGCCACTTTGCTGTGGATCACTCGCTTACACACTTGGACTTCCCAAGCACTCATGCAATTACCGGACAAGTTGAATGGCTGCATTGGAAACCTCTGCAATGGCCTTGCTGAGAGAAAAGAAAAACAAGGAAATCACTCATGAATTCTGATGTCACTTCTACTCTCTTCGACTCGAAAAGAAAAGAAGAACTGTGGGCTGAACTATATCTCTACTGCCCTCCCCCCATCGGCGTCCTTGACCTTTCACGCACTTCAACTTTGTCAGCAGGACTTCCCCGCTCCGAACCTGACCGGACGGCCCGGCAATAGAGGACTACCCTCTAAAAGGATACCCTGGACTACCCAGGGAAACAAAGGGGGAGCTCCTGGTGACTTCCACCAGACTTGGTGTAGGGGTGCTCAAGATGTTGTCATGATTATCTCAACACTGGTTGCACCACTGACTCACTTAGAAAAATCAGAGCTACTTTTAAACACATCGCACTTCGATTTGAATCACCTATGATATCCTGTACAAATCTTACACATGGCACCTACTCCATGCACGGCTTCTTCAAGCTGCACCATTAAATCAGTCACCTTCCTACCACAGGCCAACATGCCTTCCATGTTACTTCCTACATGGATTGTGCCACTGAGACCATGCCTGTACAGAGTTTGGCCCCTGTTTTTCGGGGGTCCCACCAACCCTACAACAACTTTCTCTACGACCCTCTCATCTTCTCCTTCTGCAGATTCTTCGACATCTGACTCTTCTGAACTGCTCGTCAAGTTCTCGTGCTCCGCAAACTTCTCCACCTCTTTGGTCGGTGCCTTCACTGTTGCGATGGTCTCCACCGGGGACTGCACGTCCAAGACCTCATCACCACTAGATGGGGCAACCTCCTCGACTGCTTCCTCCGGCTGCTTCCTCTTCCACCTGCCTGATCTGGACTGATCTGGCATGAATTCCCCGAGTGCTATCTTCACGACCAGGTCGTTCAGCATCTCAAGCGGCCCGGCCAGTGCGTCTCGGCTGTAGATGACCAAGGACTTGTCTTTGGGCTTTACATGATAGCCCAACATTCTGTGCGCTTTCTCCGGCATGGCTGCCTTCGCCATCCACGACAGTGATGTCGCTTTCATGCTGTGCGCTCCCACATTGGTCAGGTCTTGGTCCACCACATTGTATTTCTGCAGCATCTCACAAAGCCAGGTGCTAGCTTCTGAAGTCTTCAGCTTGCCTCTCGACCACCCTCCACCATTGATCGGGGCTGGCATGAACGGCATGCCAGGACCAGCTCGCAAACCAGCTTCCTTCCGAGCCTGCAGGAAACTCGCAGCCCAGCATCCTCTGCTGACTCCCACAGCTGGTGCAGCCACCGGCAGCATGCGCCGTGCTCTGCCGAACATCGAGTCCGTCTTGTGCATGCTTGTCCCTGCTTCCAGGTAGTCTCCATCTATTGTTGGTTCACTCTCCACTCCTTGGCTGTCGCCAAAGCGCAGACGCCCGTAGATGCACATCAGGCAGTGGCCAGCGAACACCTTGTCTGCCTCCACGTTGCCACCAGTGACAACTGCTTCCAGGGTTCTGACTTGATCCACTGTCAGTATCCCGTTGTTTCAGCAGCCTTTTGGTCAGAAAACTCCTGTGGCACGACCCGCTGACTGCAGCACTGTCCAAGATCTCATCAACACCTGCTACCTTGAAGGTGCCCTTCAGGAAGGCCAGGGCACTCCGAAAGCTGTTGGCACGAGTTGCTGGTGCCTTGTTCCGCCTGAGCTCGTCTACATACTTGTAGGCCTTCTCCACAGAGAGTGGGAAGGCTGGTAGGCCCTTGGACTTGGCCCATCTGATGTAGAGGAGCACCGCAGTAGACCGAACCTTCAGGGTCCCAGTCTTCTTGCGTGCCAGCACGTCCACCAGCACGGCACTGCCCGCATCCTGGATCATTTTGCATGTCTCACATTCTGTCCCAATGGCTGCACACACCACCATCCAACGTTCGAGTTCTTTGTCTCGTTCCTGTTTGTCTTCCTCCACCATTGAGGGCCTTTGGCACTGCATCTTCGGTGCTGACATAAATCTGTCCTTGTTGTCCTTCTCCGCTGGCTCTGGGGGCGCCTGTTCAACATCCACGTTCTGGTAGAGCTCCTCCATGTCAACCTTTAGGTTGGGGTCAACGTTGGGCATGAACAGGTCGACCCCTTGTCCCAACACCAGACCTGCAAAGCCATGCTCCCATGTGCCCAGTGCCGCAGCAGCTGAGGCCAGGCCGGACTCAAGTGCATTCGATGCTGCCTGCTGCTCTGTCACCATGTCCCTCAGGACTTCCAGGCTTATAGGCTCCGGTGCAGATGGCTTTGCTTCCACTTCCATGGATTCCATCACCACTGACGTAGGAGAGTCTACTGAAGAAGGAGCCCCTGGTAGCCCAAAAAGGTTGTCAGCAGCTCCCAGCATCTGCAGCCTTGCGTCTACCTCAGCTGAGAGCCGCAACTCTTCGGTTGACATGGCTTGGTCACTATCATCTGCCATCCCGGCCAGACCCCCCTACTTGATGGCACTGTGATCGAAAAACTTGCCAGGGGGTGTGGCCTTTATCCAAAATGGCCACGGGTTTGCAAATGTTCCAAGACAGTCTCTGTCTCTCCTCTGTCATTACTTGCATAAAAGGCATGATTACTTCGTAACATGTTGCATATGTGAAAATCTATACTATCATACCGTACATACCGTACATACGAGTGTGTGGGTGTATGCAAATATTTTTCCTATACAAACTCTCAGTGCTTCTTGAGGAGCTGCCTGAGTGCACCTCATGCCCGTCAGGTTGGGGACTACTCGACGTCGGGCATGGCGATCAAGAAATAACATTCTGACTATAGAGAACATGCTTCGTTGAAGATGTTAAAATCAAATCGGAACAGGAACAATGAAAAAAAACTACAGCTGTAAGTTTCAGTGTCGAGACTTCAGACTCGAACACCAGCAAAATCAAACTTGATCATTAAGAAAGCATTGGACAAGAGATGCAATTTGTCCGGTTTGGTTTTCACACTTGAGCAAAGGCTGAGACGAGAACACGGTCTGCAAATGGTGGGGTTGACATGTCCAAAGTGGTCAGTGCAATTCAATTTGCAGGATCTGGAGAAGGTTGCTACCAAAGGCCATCTCACAACCCGAGGCCAAGGTCATTCCACGAAAACCTTTGACACGTTGTGGTATGTCTCTCGTGATCTGCAAATTAAGAGTTCCTTGGGCTGGGGTGAGCGGTGGCAGCGGGTGGCACCTTCAATCCGCTGAGAAATTCTCCTCTCAGTGTGCCCCATGAGCTGGGACATAGCCTGTGCGGACAGCGCGGATCAAGATCAAGGGCTATCAGTGTAACAATCAAACTGCCGAGAGACATGTGCTGTTGTCGCTTTTATGCCAACTTCCACTTAGCAGTTGCAAACATTTTGGACTTTTCTTGCACGCAGATTTTTTTTCACCCTGAGCCACGGCGTTTCTCTCTGTCGGTGTCCCAAGCATCAGAGGAGAGTTGGATGGCGACCCTTGCACTACAGCTGCCAGGGCGGCAAGAAGATCTGCCTTCGATGCAGACATCTTACAAAGTGTTGAAAGTCGCCACACAGACTTTGTCATGACAGGCAACTTAGTCGTCTTCCGGAAGATTTCTTCCTTGTGCTTTAAGCAAATAAACCGGCAAAGTCTAGCAAGCCTCTTGGAGGGCCAGCTCGTTCTGCTCACACTCCTTAGATTTGACCATCTGGTGGCCATGTTTTTGTTGGACACGGGCTGCAACTGTCTCTGGGCACCCTGTAGACCCGATAGAAATAGAGACGTTTCTTGTCAGTCAACCCTCGGACGCTTGGGCTATGACTGTGAGAAGCCTGAAGGTCAAGGCAGCATGTCATGCAACGACAACGACCAAAATAAGATCAGCGCTGCGCAAACAAGATCAAGACCCGCAATCGTCACAAGGACTACGAGCACATGACAAGAATCAAAGTCAGTGCTGTACTAAATGTGTTTACTGCTTGCTGCAATCCAAGTTACAATGCACAGGCTGCAATATCATCTCGCTGAAAGATTCTCTGCTGTGTCCCTGTGGCTTCCTAGCAAGATCTCAGCTTAGCCAGAGCAATGGATGCTGATCGAACATGAGCTAAAAGTCAGATTATTGTGCCCAGCACAAAGGATATATACATATCTCTCTCTCACATATACATATATATATACATACGAATGTGCAAATGTGGTCAAATGTGTATGTATGTATGTATGTATGTATGTATGTATGTATGTATGTATGTATGTATGTATGTATGTATGTATGTATGTATGTATGTATGTATGTATGTATGTATGTATGTATTATGTATCTATGTATGTATGTATGTATGTATATGTATGTATGTGTATGTATGTATGTATGTATGTATGTATGTATGTATGTATGTATGTATGTATGTATGTATGTATGTATGTATGTCTGTATGTATGTATGTATGTATGTATGTATGTATGTATGTATGTATGTATGTATGTATGTATGTATGTATGTATGTATGTATGTATGTATGTATGTATGTATGTATGTATGTATGTATGTATGTATGTATGTATGTATGTATGTATGTATGTATGTATGTATGTATGTATGTATGTATGGTATGTATGGTATGTATGGTATGTATTATGTATGGTATGTATGGTATGTATGGTATGTATGGTATGTATGGTATGTATGGTATGTATGGTATGTATGGTATGTATGGTATGTATGGTATGTATGGTATGTATGGTATGTATGTATGTATGTATGTATCTATCTATCTATGTATCTATCTATCTATCTATGTATCTATCTATCTATCTATCTATCGTCTATCTATCTATCTATCTATGTATGTATGTATGTATGTATGTAATGTAATGTAATGTAATGTAATGTAATGTAATGTAATGTAATGTAATGTAATGTAATGTATGGTAATGTAATGTAATGTATGGTAATGTAATGTAATGTATGGTAATGTAACGTAATGTAATGTAATGCAATGTAATGTAATGTAGTGTAGTGTAATGTAATGTAATGTATACACAGATTTTACATAATACATAAATATACATATGGACAGATGGATAGATGCATAGATATATAGACAAATAGATCTGTTGATAGATAAATAGGTCGATCGATAGATAGCTAGATAGCTATGATAGCTAGATATGGCAGCGAACAGAATTATATATGGGAAAAAAAAATGTCCAACTTAGACAGGGGTCGTCTGTCTCCGTTTCGTTCCATAATTAGGTTCTCCTCGTAAGGGTTCAAAATTTCCCAGGCGTGATCTGAACCTTTTTTTTCCATAATTCTTGGCAGGGCCCAGGATTTTCCATAATTCATTTTTCCTGTGTCATCAGGATAAAGGGGTTGGAGCAAATTAACCCATTTTTTTTCAGAGTGATTGTTTCCATAATTAATCTTTGGGGGTCCACCTGTTGGCCATGTCATGGATCGACATTTCAAACCCAGTTTTTTGATCTACCCTACCTAAACTACCCCCCCTCCTCCCCCCCCCCTCAAAATAATTTCCAAAATTATTTTCAGGGGGTTGATAGTGTCTTCGGTTGTTATACGAAACAACCCTCTTTAGGGTAAAATAATTTCTTACGATAGACCCTCCCCTCCCCTTCATCGACGGTGGTGAACCTTCGTAAAAATTATTTCAACCCCTGGGGATTAATTATTTTGCCCCCCTCCGGAGACTCCAATCTTTACATATGTATACTTTGGGACCCCCCCCCTACCCGACATGATCGCATTCGCAGGTGTACCGGGGATATTCCATCCCTTCAAGAAAAACGCGGGGGTATCAACCAGGTTTTGGAATATGTTTAAAGAAAACATGTTGTTGAATAAGTTTCCTAAGCAGTGGGCCTACGGATGTGCATATTGGAATATGCGAGTTATAATCTAAGCCTTCAATATACCCTGGAATAACTATGTTTTGAAATAATTTCATCTAAATTCTAAATGGTTGAACAAAAAAAAGATTAAAGAAAAACACTTGGGGATTCCCGCAAAATGATGTTCAACCATCATTTTCATCACTGGCTCTTTCCTACATATTTCCATTTTGTTCATATATACTTCCCCACATTTCTCTCACATTCCCTTCATTACCTTCCAAAGAACACTCGGTGGGAATGAGTGTGAAAGGGAAAGCATTCGGTGTTTATAGTTTTTTTTCAACTGGCAGCTGCTCACTTTGATTTTTGAGGAGCGCAGGGTATCTCCAATACCCCTAAAATAATTTCTCCCCTTGGGAAATCCCACGGAATGGTATTCAACCTGGCCCTTTCCTGGAGTGATTTTCCTAACCTGTCATATTTCCCATTATTTCTCCCATATTCCCTATATAACTCATTTTTGGGAAGCGTTCGGTTTTGATAGGTTTTTCATTTTTTTCCAGCTTATGGGCGAGTTGGATGGTTCTGGCAGCTGCTCGCTTTGGTTTTTGAGGAGTGCAGGGTATCTCCAATACCCCTAAAATAATTTCTCCCCGTGGGAAATCCCACAAAATAGTATTCAACCTGGCCCTTTCCTGTACTGATTTTCATAACCTGTCATATTTCCTTTCTCTTCTTCCATATTCCCTTCATTTCCCTCCAAAGAACTCTTTTTTGGGAAGCGTTCGGTTTTGATAGGTTTTTCATTTGTTTCCAGTTTATGGGCGAGTTGGATGGTTCTGGCAGCTGCTCACTTTGATTTTTGAGGAGTGCAGGGTATCTCCAATACCCCTAAAATAATTTCTCCGCTTGGGAAATCCCACAAAATAGTATTCCTTTCCTGTAGTGATTTTCCTAACCTGTCATATTTCCTCTTATTTCTCCCATATTCCCTTCATTTCCCTCCAAAGAACTCTTTTTTGGGAAGCGTTCGGTTTTGATAGATTGTTCAATTGTTTCCAGTTTCTGGCGGGCGAGTTGGATGGTTCTGGCAGCTGCTCACTTTGGATTTTGGGAAGTGCGAGGCATCTCCAATACCCCTAGAATAATTTCTCTTGGGAAATCGCACAAAATGGTATTCAACTTAGCTCTTTGCTATAGTGGTTTTTCTAGCCTTTCATGTTTTTCCCTCTTTCTCCCATATTCCCTTCATTTCCCTCCAAAGAACTTTTTTTGGGGAAGCGTTCGGTTTTGATAGGTTTTTCATTTTTTTCCAGTTTATGGGCGAGTTGGATGGTTCTGGCAGCTGCTTACTTTGGTTTTTGAGGAGTGCAGGGTACCTCCAATACCCCTAAAATAATTTCTCCCCGTGGGAAATACCACAAAATAGTATTCAACCTGGCCCTTTCCTGTAGTGATTTTCCTAACCTGTCATATTTCCCATTATTTCTACCATATTCCCTTCATTTCCCTCCAAAGAACTCTTTTTTGGGAAGCGTTCGGTTTGATAGGTTTTTCATGTGTTTCCAGTTTATGGGCGAGTTGGATGGTTCTGGCAGCTTCCCACTTTGATTTTTGAGGAATGCAGGGCATCTCCAAGATCCTTTGAATAATTTCTTAAAGAACGAGTTTGGTTTCGAGTTGCAAGTTTTGATGCGTTCTTGCTGCAACTTAAGATTGAGGGGAGATTCTGACATGACTACCAGGGAGCACACATGAAACATGATGTTGAATTTATTTGCGTTGTAGGATTCGCAACGCATCAATCCTAAAAAACAAAAAACCTAAAAAATAATAAGCCACTTTTGCAAGTCCAACATTGCGCAAGATGGGATATCGCATTGTCCAAAAGTTACAACACTGCCATCACTGCGAAGAAGTGCTGTGTGAACACAGCCTGCAGAAACTTGAGTGTACGACATTCCTTCATCCAAAGGTGGAATATGCCATCGGATCAAAACAGGGTCAAACACCAAAATTATTTCGAAATATTTTTTTGCTGTGAGAGTGTTTTCGTCAAAATTATTTTGAGGGGGGGGTAACCCATCAAAATAATTTCCAACCAGAAATTATTTTGGTGATGGTTAGAGTCTATAAATCTATACATCCAACATGTTAGATTTTTGAAATTATTTTCAAAAAATTATTTTGGAGGGTAACCCCCCCCCTAAAATAATTTCATTAAGGTAGGAGGGATGTTTTTTGTGGTCTTCAACTAGACGACGGTTGGCCCGAGAGCGAAAAAGACGTTTTTACACACAGACGCTTTTACACACAGAAGCTTTTACACACAGACTCCTTTACACACAGACGCTTTTACACACAGACGCTTTTACACACAGACGCTTTTACACACAAACGCTTTTACACACAGAGACTTTTACACGCAGACGCTTTTTACACACAGACACTTTTTAACACAGACGCTTTGACACACAAACACATTTACACACAGACGCTTTTACACACAGACGCTTTTTACACACAGACGCTTTTTACACACAGACGATTTTACACACAAACACATTTACACACAGAGGCTTTTACACACAAACGCTTTTACACAAACACTTTTACACACAGACGCTTTTACACACAGACGCTTTTACACACAGAGTTACACACAGAGACTTTTACACACAGAGACGCTTTTACACACAGAAGCTTTTACACACAGAGGCTTTTACACACAGAAGCTTTTACAAACAGGCGCTTTTACACACAGACGCTTTTACACACAGACGCTTTTACACACAGACGCTTTTACACACAGGCGCTTTTACACGCAGGTGCTTTTACACACAGACGCTTTTACACACAGACGCTTTTACACACAGACGCTTTTACACACAGACGCTTTTACACACAGGCACTTTTACACAAACGAAAGCGTCCATGGCAATTTTACCTCAGTTTTTAACGTCCAACGTCCATTTCGTGCATAAGGGCTGCGAATAACAAAGTAAAGTCGCAATTTTTCCTCAGTTTTTGACGTCCAACGTCCCTTTCGTGCGTAAGGGTTGCGATTGACAAAGTAAAGTCGCAATTTTTCCTCAGTTTTTGACGTCCAACGTCCATTTCGTGCGTAAGGGTTGCGATTGACAACTCAAAGTCGCAATTTTTCCTCAGTTTTTGACGTCCAACGTCCATTTCGTGCGAAAGGGTTGCGCGCGACACCTCAAAGTTGCAATTTTTCCTCAGTTTTTGACGTCCAACGTCCATTTCGTGCGAAAGGGTTGCGCGCGACACCTCAAAGTTGCAATTTTTCCTCAGTTTTTGACGTCCAACGTCCATTTCGTGCGAAAGGGTTGCGTGCGACCAATAAAAGTTGCAATTTTTCCTCAGTTTTTGGCGTCCAACGTCCATTTCGTGCGAAAGGGTTGCCGGCGACGCTTCAAAATCGCAATTTTACCTAGGTTTTGGACGTCCAACGTCCATTTCGTGCGAAAGGGTTGCGTTTCGTGGCGCTCCGGCGGCACCGCCCCCGCCTTAAGAGAGAATAGAAGAAGAGCGAGAAGAGATCTGCAGATGTGAAGGTGTGAAGATCTAGATCTGCAGGTGTAGGGTGTGAAGATCTAGATCTGCAGGTGTGCGGGTGTGATGATGTAGATCTGCATGTGAGATGTAGATCTGCAGATGTGAGGATGTGATGATGTAGATCTGCAGATGTGAGGGTGTGAAGATCTAGATCTGCAGGTGTGAGGGTGTGAAGATCTAGATCTGCAGGTGTGAGGGTGTGAAGATCTAGATCTGCAGATGTGAAGGTGTGAAGATCTAGATCTGCAGATGTGAGGGTGTGAAGATCTAGATCTGCAGGTGTGAGGGTGAAGATCTAGATCTGCAGGTGTGAAGGTATGAAGATCTAGATGTCCAGATGTGAGGGTGTGAAGATCTAGATCTGCAGGTGTGAAGGTGTGAAGATCTAGATCTGCAGGTGTGAAGGTGTGAAGATCTAGATCTGCAGGTGTGAAGTTGTGAAGATCTAGATCTGCAGGTGTGAAGGTGTGAAGATGTAGATCAGCAGATGTGAAGGTGTGAAGATGTAGTATAACGGCTGCTTTTTTACGAAGAACCCTTCGCAGGCGCTCTCGGGAAAAATTGCTTCAAAGCAATTGTTAACTTATTTTTCAAAAAAAGTCAAGAACACTGATTAAAGCCAATCCGAGAACTAATGCAATAGATTTGAAACACTGATGAAAACCATGGTAAGATGCTAAATCTGTGAAACAACAGCTGAACACCAATGGAAAAAATAATTAAATAGGATGGACACTTGCTTGAAACCAAATGACAAAGGCTGAAATAGGTTGGAAAATTGCTTTAATGGTAAAGCAATGAAATATAGTTCAAAAAAGAACTGATGAAAGTCAATGCTAAACATCATGAAATAGACTGAACAATTGATGACAACTTATGGTAAAATGTTCCAATATGTTGAACAACTGCTGAAAACCATTGAAAAAACAATTAAATAGGTCGGACAATTGCTTAAAGCCAATGGCAACGGGCTGAAATAGGTTGAAATATTGTTTAAAACCATAATGGTTAAATGATGAAATCTATCGTGGGACACCTGATCAGCAAATGTGTATACTTTTCTTTATAGATTGGTTTTTCCTGGACGACCATTTCCGGGAAAGTCAATTATACAAAAAATAGAATCGAAACGAAATATCCGGAAAAAAATCGGAGAAAGAAACTGATGAAAGCCAATGCTAAAAATAATGCAAGAGAGATTTGAAAAACGGCTGAAAACCATGACAAGATGCTAAATCTGGAAACAATAGCTCAACACCAATGGAGAAAAATAATGAAATAGGATGGACACGTGCTTGAACCAATGGTAAAATAGGCTGGAAAATTGCCTAAAACCAATGGTAAAATAATAAAATGTCAAAAACAGTTATGAAAGTCAATCATGAAATGGATTGAACAACTGATGACAACCTATGGCAAAATGCTGAAATAGTCTGGACCATTGCTTAAAATCAATGGCAAAATACTGAAATAGGTTCGACAATTGCTTGAAACCAATGGCAAAAGGCTGAAATAGGTTGTAAAAATTGCTTGCACCCAATGGTAAAATGATGACATACATTTTGGGACAGCTGGTCAACAAATGTGTGTACTTTTTTGATAGATTGGTCATCCTGGACGACCATTTCCGGGAAACGGTAACTATAGAAAAAATAGAATCGTAAGAAAATAGCTGTCACAAATCATCCAAAAAGGGTAGCCGGTCAGATCCAGCTCCCAAAGAGCATTGTTGAATTGAGGACTCCTTTTGACATTGTTCCCAAAAGCCGGGAGAAAGAAACAGATGCAAGCCAACGCTAAAACTGCTAAAACTAATGAAATAGATTGAACAACTGATGACAACCTATGGTAAAATGTTCCAACATGTTCAACAAATGAAATTAGATGGACACTTGCTTGAAACCAAATGGCAAAGGCTCAAAAATAGGCTGGAAAATTGCTAAAAACCAATGGTAAAGTAATGATTAAAAAAAACTGGTGAAAGTCAATGCTACACATCATAAAATCGATTGGAAACTGATGAAAAGCTATGGCAAAATACTGAAATAGGTTCGACAATTTCTTGAAACCAATGGCAAAAGGCTGAAATAGGTTGAAAAATTGTTTGCACCCAAGACACCTGATCATCAAATGTGTGTGCTTCTCTTTATTGTTTGGTCGTCCTGGACGACCATGCCCGGGAAAAGTCAGTCATAGAAAAATAGAACCGTAAGAAAATAGTTCTCACAAAATCATCCCAAAAGGGTAGCAGGTCAGATCCAGCCCCAGAAGTGCATTTTTGAATTGGGGACTCCTTTTGAAATTGTTCCCAAAAACCAGGACGAAGAAACTAATGAAAGCCAATGCTTAAAAAAATGAAATAAATTGAACAACTGATGACAACCTATGGTAAAATGTTCCAATATGTTCAACAACAGCTGAGCACAAATGGGAAAATGCTGAAATAGGTTGGACAATTTCTTAAAACCAATGGTAAAATAATGAAATGAGTCAAGACACTGGTGAAAGCCAATGCTGAAATCAATGAAATAGAATTGAAAAACAAATGAAAACCATGGTAAGATGCTGAAATGTGTCGAACAACTGCTGAAAACCCATGATATCATGCTGAAATAGGTTGGACAATTGCTCAAAACCAATGGCAAAAGGGTGAAATAGATCGGCAAATTGCTTTGGGTGTCCGGGTATACGGTATATTTGATTTTTAGATCCATGCATATTTTCCATAATTCAATATTCCCCCTTAAAATGCATTCAAACTGCGAAAAGATGGACGTGTTCCAGCCGACAGAATTATGGAAAAAAATAATTATGGAAAAAATAATCATGGAAGAAAAAAGGTCCAGAATTTTCCTGTGATAGACAGGCGGCGCCTGCAAATTGTAACCTTTTTGTTTCCACAATTCTGTCGGTGGCTGTAGCTAGATAGCTAGATAGCTAGATAGCTACCTGGATAGCTGGATAGCTAGATAGCTAGGTAGATAGTTTATATAGGCTAGATTAGACTGGACTAGACTAGACCAGACTAGATTGGATAGATAGATAATATAGATTAGATAGACTAGAGCCACTGGATAGATTAGATAGATAGGATAGATAGATTTGATTAGATTAGAATAGATTAGATTAAATTAGATTTAGATTAGATTAGACTAGACTAGACTGGACTAGATTAGGTTAGATTAGATAGATAGATGGATATCGACAATATATCATACAATATTTATATATATTATTATATATAACATATGATCAAATGCAGTACATACACCGTAGCATCAGCTTTGCGATTGGAGCACAGCTGCAGGAACCTCAGCACCTTCGAGTCTGGGACGCTGAGACCTTCAAGGTTGAGACCAGCGTCTTCCCCGTTAATTTTCAGAAACGTCAAGTCAATTCGAATCAACTAGGACAGTGTCTTGACAATTCTGCAGCTTTGTTTGCAGGAGTGATCAATATTCAATACTGCTGTACTGTTGTTGCCTATGTATACGTGTATATATATATATATACATGTCAAAAAAACTCCGAGTAGCATAAGGTAATCGGATTCAATGGGTTGCCTTAGGTGCCTTGATGTTCAAGTTCGTTGCAAATGCTTTCGCTATTGACAATATTGAATCTGGAGCGGGCTAGCAATACCCATGCCACCAGTGGTTCCATCAGCAGGATCAGCAGACACAGCAGCCACTTACTCCATGGCGAAATATGCCACGAGAGCGGGCCTATCTCAGGTATGCTCAAGTTGGGATTTGTAGCCGCAGCAATTTCCGCATGTAAAATTATACAAATGGTTTGAACTTTGTTTGAACATATGTCTATTTAATATTATTTAATATTATTTAATTACTGCAAATACTTTCAACGCAGAATCTTTGAAAACTCTTGAAACTCCGCCGCAACTCGTGGTACCCACAACACATGACAACACCCACGCAGCAGCGGCTGCAGCATCCAACCACGGAGATTGCCAGGAGATGCTAGGAGTCTGACTCCATCACTTTGGGCCACTGACCAGCCTGAGGAGAACAGTCACCCAAGATCTCGACCTACATGTCTCATCATGTCCCTATCTTTTCTACTGGAAGCTAGGCCAAATGTTTCATGAAAACGAATCTCAGCACCAGCACAAAAAAAAAGATAAGAACTGGATCTCGACTAAAAGTTGGTCTCAACATTGCAACCAAAACCGAGATCGTGATAGATACGTTAGTGCGCTTGGCATTCTCGGACTCGCGTCAGACCAAGACTTCCCCTCCTACTGTAGACTCTGCGAGCAACGGTGAAAAACTGCCCCTGACATGAATCAGATTGATATCAGAGTCTACCTCTTCATGCTAAACGAACCGCTGCAACCCCATCACCAACTGGCCTCGTTCAATAAATTGGATGCAACCGCCCAGCAGCTGCTGGAACAAAGCAATGTCGCTGCCTCAATGTGGTCTAGAAATGTCCAGGTCGTCGATGTTCGTAATTTGTGTGGTCACAGATGGTCACAGAACCTAGACTCGTCCTGAGAACGCTCTGTGACTTTGACACAAACTGAACACTGCACACCACCAGAATTCCAAGCCACGCACTGCATTCCTTGCAGCGCTGTCAGTCTCGGTGTTGCTTCCTAGTGCAGTGGTCCACGATATCCACTATCCCACAAGTTTGAATTTGGTCATCTTAGATCATCTTAGGATCTCACCAAGAGGTGCTTCCAATAAATGCAAGGCCCACTTCCACTGCAAGTCCTGAAGAGACACACGACATATTGTCCCGAATCGGAGTACAACCAGCTTTTCTGGTTGTTTGCATTGGAGTGCGCTGCTTGCACTGGAATATCCTGCTGCTCTTGTGCTTTGGGCGCAAGCATTGGTTTAGCAGAATTGCTTGCTACGAGTACCTAGAGTCCACCTCTTCTATATACTTATTCCAAACATGTTCTAAATTCTTTCACCTTCGCCTTGTCCTGCTCCTGGGATTGCTCATGTACTGGGTTTATGGCCGATTTGGGCGGCCTTCCTGCCTTCTACGCACGAACCATCACCGGTCTTTCCCCACAGAGATATGTGAGAGTTGCCTATTCCACCAAAGGGGGTTGAGTGACCAAAGATCTAGCCGGATCAAGCGCGGCTTTTGACTGAATGTAAACTAGAAACACCACACCTTACAGGAGTTACATGAGGTTGCGAGCTAATCAAAACACTATATACAGACATGTTTCTTTGCATAAAGCAGGCAACTCTTCCTGTTGCATCCAGATCTTATTGCAGCTCGCTTTGCATCCATCTTGCAGCATATTTAAGACATGTGCTTTGGCACACAAGAGCTGAAACATCTATATAATTAGGTGGATTGCGTATGAGTCATCAGCAGTTCTAAGGGGTTGTTCTCCTGTCCAGTCACATCCAGGGCAATTCGTCGCAATATCTTGTTCATCACAAAGTTGGCTGCCCGACCCTGTCACCAGAGATCTCAGAAGAGCATTCTAATGTTGCTGAGGAAACTGCATTTTATGCGGAGTTGAAGTGATTGCCTTCCACAGTATTTCTGGAGCCATTTGCCATTGCCGGCCGCCACCTCAGGTTTTTTGTCGAGCCTGCTTGTAACCAAGTCAGAAGGGGAGAAACAAACATAAATTGACACTCTGGTACCGCAAGAACAAGAGGTTCGAGTTAAGTGCAAGTGTGTGTGTGTGCTGCACAGGAAAAGGTCGGACTGGAAAAGGTCGCTCCATCAGAGAAACACTTCGGACAGAGAAAAGTCACCTCATCGGTAAAAGACACCACAGAAGTCAGACCCGAACAAGGAAATTGTTCGCACCGAATCCGCAGCGAGCATGCTCAACTCTTCAACTATCATTGAAACTCTTCAAATCTCTTCAAAATCATGCTCAACTCGCACAAATTTCTTCCTGGCAGACCTTCACTATACCGACTATACCAGCACCGGCCACAAGAGTAATCTTGTATACTCTGCATTGCATTTGCAGTAAAGATAGTTGTTGGGTCTGATATGGTCTTATAGTTTTTGCATGCTGCTACAGCTGTTGCCAGATGGTCTCCAAGGTTGATCATCTGTCGCTGCTTGTGTGCATGAATGAAATGCCACTTCATTTTTGTCATACTACTGTACCTCAGTATCGTTCATGAAACTGATGCTACATATCACCATGTATGATCGTGTCCACATCATTTACTGTCCTATTCTAATGAGTTTCATATCATGTGCCGGTGTCTCAACAATGCAAATCCGATCAAATCCGTATGAAAGTGGAATCGCTTTCGCTTTCAGAGACAAAAAATGGGGCAACAATTCCCATGCTGCTTTCCTTCCACCACTTTCCCAGAAACGGTGAATGAACCGCAATCGGAAAAGAAGCGCAGCGCAGAAAGCACCACGCAAATTGTAGGTGTGGCCGGTGTGGCGAAATGCTCTGAACAAGAAAACATTGATTCGAAAGGACTTCGCCCGCCCTAAACAAGACGGTTTAAGCCCAACCCTAGAGACTTGAGTGTGACCTACGAATCATATGATTGATTAGAAACTACAAGCGCGTGGAAAGTGCGGGTGCAACTTGAGTTTGAGACCAACTGCACTCAGAAGTGGCCCCAAACAAAGTGTATCCATTTTGCCCTTCGAGGTTGCTAGAACCTGAAATGCGGGTGCCATGTGTTGAGATCTTGGTTGATCATGGACTCATGGTGACTTCGACCCGTGGCACGCCGTGGCCTCAAAGGTCTGCAGAGCTTCCAGCCACTTTCCTCTGTCACCTGGGTCAGAAAGTGCATAAACTGTTCATAAATAAACCCAATAAATTTCGAACAAATAAAGAAAAAGGAAATGAAGGGGGCAACAAATCGTTGAATGTCTTGAAGCAATTGCCTTCTGGGAAGATGCATTTAAAAAAAAAGGATAAAAAAGGCCCAAGGCATTGAGTATCTGACTACAAGCATCTGCTATTGCAGTGAAACTTGCCACAGAGATCTTTGCCCAGATCTGCGAAAGCCTCGAAAATACAGGAAATCCGAACAAATGCGATGGAAGTTCTCATTGTCCACAGTGCACAGCATCTACAGAATTCTAGGCATATCACCGCGTCAAAAGGCCCAAAGTCTGGCAGACACAGAATCCACAAATGACACTAACGCTCGAGACTGCTCTTCCCCTTGCATGTCACAACCGCGACTTCGCCTCAACCCAGTTGCCACCACGTTGGACTGCTGTGAAAGCGGCTCCACAAGCTGTTGCCTAGAACATTCGCATACATAAGTGAGAGCGGGTCAGTTTCCAAGGGTAAATCACTAAAGTTGCATTCTGTTTTTCTTTAAGCGACGACAGTGTCAATGGTGGAAGTTTGTTGATCTTAATGGGTTTGTTGATCTTCAATGTGCTTGAAGGCATGAAACGTGCACCTCCAGATCCAGCCGCATCTGGCAAAAACTGAATTCGGGAGCCAGCAGCAGTTGAAATGCAAATTCCTTGGTCTCGGATTTGGTCAGGAAAGCTATTGGCAAGGGAGTGACGAGGCCAGTACCCATTGGCCAGTGAAGGAGAGCGAGGAATTTGCGGAACTGAGGACGAAATCGTCCACCTACCATGGGTTCAAACTTGGAAGTCAGCGTGCATACATTTATAATTTATAATCTATAATTCAGCTGGGAAATCTTGTGCCACATGCCCGGCATGATCAGAAGTACTTGAAATACTCTGCCTCCCGATCCATTTCACGTGTTGCTTGTAGCAGCGTGAGAGCCTCATTGCGCTTCTCAAAGAAGACATGTGGAGTTCTCCTGTGGAGTTGTGGAGTCTGCAGAAGCTTCAAGGCTCTGAGTTCTCGCACCGCTTTCCACAGGCTATTTTGCGCAAAGCCACTCATGGCGGAGCTGGTCCCAACCTCGTCTGCCAAGATGTCTGGTGTATCAATTGTATATCTTGCACAAGTTGATACAATTCGCAGAAGTATTCATCTTGCTGTATTTAGTCGTGCCTCTTGATTCACCTTGGTCAGGCTATCTATCGTGTGTTTGTCATTCTATCTTATTTGGTGCACACATTGTAGACCCCTTGCCAGGTCTCTAGGCTCTAGGTTTTTTCACATGATGTTGCCAGGGTCTACAACGTACGGTGAAGCAACGCAAAATCATCCCGATACCCTCAGCTCCAACCATCACTACAGTCACTACAGATCACTACAGTATATATTGCATTCATTTGCATTCATTTGCATTCACAAAATTCACAAAATTCACAAAATTCACAAAATTCACAAGATCAGGAAACGTTGACGCATTGCCATACTCGCCATACTCGCCATACTCCTACCCAATCCCACAAGCATTTGGGCTTCACAGCAATCTAGTCCAATTCCAAGCAAGCTTTACTTTGTCTCGCGAGTCCAATCGATTGACCTATCTATACACCTACTACTACAGTAGCACTCCATTGACCCGTCCATCCCTGAAGCATCCTGAAGCTGGATTTCCCCACTGCATCGAAGTTGTAGCGACTCCAAAGACGAAGAGCCAGGGACTGTGCAAAGGCACCCAGGTCATTGCAGATCAAGATAATGTTAAGTTCATATTAATAAGCAGCCCGTATTAATCAACACCCACAGTCCAAAAATTTGTTGGCAATACTACTTTGGGTTGGTCCCCCCGAAATACTGTGCATGTGCACCCCAATTAAAAAACACCCTCAGCCCCGCTGGCCATAAGTTGATTTCAATTGAAATCCTTACTTATCATTTAGATTTAGAAGGAACATCAATTGAAAGTAAATTGATTTGAATTGAAACCCCTACTTATCCTTCAAATTTAAAAGGAAAAGCTCACCCCATTAGGAGGGAGGTTGCCACTGAAAAGAGAAATCTCAACCCATTAGCAGGCAGGTTGGTTGTTTTATATGTATGACAAGCCCTAGTTGTTTAATTGGGGGGGACTCTTACCTTCTAGGGTTTTTGTTAGTTTATATTATACAAACTTGGCATTACCAGCATGATGCAACTTGCTCAATTCAAGACAAGACATGGCGGAAATACCCAATTGCTTCCGTTGCCTTGTGTCAAACACGTGATTCACACTGTGAAAGATTCCAAAACATCCGAATAAAGGGATGACCGTACCGATCAAAGGGTAGGATGACTGCTGAGAAACGGGCTGATGGAGAGCAGGAGCGAATTCCGAGCAGCGTCCTGAGAAAGCTCCATTTCTTCATTCTCTTGCGAAATAGGACAGCTCAAAACTCAAAACTCATGCACGTGAAATTGCAGTACTGCTGCTCAGGCCGGAACACCAATTGTAAAGCCCATAGTTGAGAAGCTGCTCTTTAGAAGAAGCGCCCTTGCTCAGGATTCTTGGATTCATTGGATGCTTTGGGCGAAAGCATTCACTTCGCAAGGTTCCAATTTGGAACCGTTCAACTCTTTAATCAAAAGAAAGCATGTCTTCAGAATGTATGGACTGCCTTGACCACTCCTGCGATAGCCCCGACATCAGCGTTACCAAGCTTACCTGTCCGAGGAAAAAGATCCACCCGAGAATTCCTTCAGCTCTGACAACCTGTCGATCCATGTCGATCCTATCGCCTCATTGGGTCTCACGGCGCCAGAGCCTCGAGATGATTCGAGATGCAGCAATGCAGCAATGTCTCTGAATGTCTCTCAGTGTCGTTAAGGTCACTGCTCAAGACCAAGAAGTGCTCCAGTCTCCAGTTGTGTCCTAACTTTTCTGACAGCTGATTTGCTCTTCACAAGGGCTATGTTCAGTGCATAGGTAGGATCCTCCAAAAGCAACCGCATTGTGGGAGACTTCATCTGGCCTCACCGTTTGCACGGAAGCGGAAAAAAACGATAATATGCCAACTGTCTAGAAGTTCAAACACCTTGCAAGATAATCAGAGGCAAAGACAAGATCTTCTGTCGTCTCAGCAAGTACAGGAAGCTGTACCTTGCTCTGGCAGCAGATTGCCTGAACGTACGGTAACCGTACTCTTCAATCTCTTCAAATCTCTTCAACAACTAAACTTCAAGCAATACACGTCTCAATACACCTGCTGTACCACAGCTGCCACAGCTGTACCTGGACAATACCTGGATTCACAAAATGCGGGGTCTAAGGAGTCTAAGGTCACGATTCTCGCCAAACGCTCCGGCGACTGATGCCGCTGATGGCCTTGGTGCCCAAGACAAGGCACGCAAGGCATGAATACAGCATGACTGCAGCATGAAGAACGATGGTGAACGAAGCAAATCCGAAGCAAATCCTTTCATATGCACAAGTCTCCAGACAAAGAAAGTGTCTCTAGACATTTCTATTAGGTCTCCTGTCGCCTTCGGCACCTGCGTCCGACACTGCAATTTTCCTTTTTTCCCAAACGATATGCAGTTCGAAGGATGAACTACGTATCAGCAGCAGTATTCCCTCAGCTGGTTGCTTATTTCACTTTGGGGATAAGTAACTTCCATTGTTCCCTGTTTTCAGCAATCTGCCGAAGGAGGTTCATAGCTCTGGCAATCTTGTACCCGTTCTTCATGCTGGTGGAGGAGAATTGCTTCAGTTCGACGATGGTGAAATGCTTGCAAAATGGATGTAAGAAATACCTAGAATTGGAGGAAATTGCGGTATTGTTGGACTTTCTGGGAGGAATGTGCAAGAGTAAGTTCAGGCCCATATGCACGTGGCGCACCGCGACGGAAAGGGGATGAAATCTGACGGAGGGTAAGCGATGGATTGAAACAAATATGGAATTCTGGGCATTGGGGATGATGGAGAATATCGGCAAGATGCTTGATGAAGGAGTTTGAAATCCTCATAAACTCATAGAGGAAGGGATACAAGAAGGCAAAAACCGGATAGGATAGCGAGAGAAAATACTCATTGGAGCATGGAGAGTCGACTATGATTGTGGGCATTGATTGTGGGCATTGATTGTGGGCCTTGTCTTGCGTGCCTTGTCTTGCATTATTAACAAAATTACTGATGACCTTGTCTCGAATTACTGTGCCCACAGCATGCATGTCAGGCCCTAGCCTATATAGATATTACATGATATTACTATGGTAATAGGAGCTTTCGATCCGAAAGATTTGGCGCAAAGCTTGTAATTGGCGATTTATGCAGGAGAATAAATAGACTTGAGATTCGGATCCGTGAAGCAGGCTTGCTTGAACAAGCTGGGAATATACAAGGAGTCCAGGAGTTAATTTTTTGGGGAGATCAAGGGATGGCGGAAAAAGGGATCAAGTGTCTTAAAAGCGGAGGAAGCTTGTGAGAAGCGGAAATTGACATTCGGGACGGAGGAGGAAGTGGGAGCAATGTATGAACCAAGGTATTTAGCACTGGAAAGTGGAGAAAGAGGGGAGTCAAGTGCAGAAGGGTCTGGAGTGGATTGAAAAAAGGGTACACAAAAAGGACAATCGCATTGATTGTGGGCATCGACATGCAAAGAAAGTGAAATGGGGAGAGAAGCATGAATACACAGCAGCTGGCTTTTTGAGCCATTAAGGAGGGGACCAATACGTGCAGCGAGGTGCTGGAGGAAATGAAGGAGGCGAGAAAGCATCTCTTGGGTGCGAGCGATGAGGACGGCGTCATCTGCATATTTAACGAGTTCAGTAAGATAGTAAGAGGACGGGAGAAAGAATATGTCAACGGACCTGCACTTTTCTTCTCAGGAGAAATTGTTTTCTCAGTCATGAAGAACTGCTTTCTGTATTGTGATTCTGCTGTCATTCCAGCTTGGCAGAGCAGATATGCTGGTTCTCAAGGCCCTTGCAGCATTCAGCGACTCCAAGCCAGGTTCCCCTCGATCCTCTACAGCACGCCTTGGATGATCAGAAGACAGCAACGGCAAAGAAGGGCAAGAATTGCGCTGCATATGCATTGCGGTATTGCATCGTCAAAACGTAAGGTCCGGACCTAAGGACATCTTGCGCTCTTGTCCAGCAAGATGCTCCTCATGCTGCATGAAAAAAGGAGAAATGGTAAGGCAGGAGTACCCAAGAGGTCCACATCCAAAACCCCGATCCTTTCTTGCAACTGGTTTCCGCTTCCACTTCAGAGCCTCCAACGATCTGTATCTGTTCAGCTTGGGGAGGACAAATGACTCAAATGACAATGCTATTGCCAAAGAACAAATACTTCATCAGCTTCTTGTGAGCCAGCAGCCAGCAATGCCCCAACATGACAACATGGCCAACTATGGACAGGAACAACAGATATCAACAAAATTCAACAAATCGATGTGGAGATTTCACACCTCGATCCAAGGCCTCAGACTTCAGACTTTGCAGCTTAGGCAGATGTCAGATCCACACAATAAGCTTCACATGCTTCATTATACCGAATTATACCTCTGGAAACTTCTGTCATGGCTCTCATCAAACCTTTGCAAACCGATGAATTAAACACCCAGGATTATCAAACAAAACAAAACAAGTGCTTCACAATCTGAACTTTGAAATTCCTTGGCTTCCCTCAGGCTGAGTGGCTTACGGCAGTCAGTGCAGCAATCGTGGCTGCCTTGAAATAGTCAAGCGATGTCAAGCGATGTCAAGCGCTAATCAAATCTGGACAATGCATGGAAGGCTCAGATCCCAACTGTTGGGCGCAATCCAGCTGCACGCGTTGTGTGCAGGACTTGCACGGCCTGACAACGCAAAGAAAAGGAAGAGAACAACACATCTGATCTAGCCGCATCTAGCCAGTAGAAAAGGTTGACAGCAAAAACTAGCACTCTTGAAGAGGGACAGAAGAAGATGCGCAGCTTGCGAGCTCGACGGCCCTTGCACGCCTTCCACCAACAAGTCGACCTTCCGCATGAACTTAGGGCAGAAGTGTGGGCCTCAAGTGGGCTGCGTTGAGAGCATGGTGTAAACCTGAGTATACTGCTATCTGGCAACAGCAACTCAGAGCATTTTGAGGCCATAGCAAAAATGTCTTGCTCCAGGAATAGGTTGCTGTATCCACGGCAAATTTCAAGCGCCTCTTGCCACCTGAGAAAGCTTTGGTGATTTGTGCTGAGTCATGGTGTGATGCTTACCTGCCTGTAAGATCTCGCGCATGCATCTACCTTAGTTGCACTGGAGAAAGATAAAGTGAGAGGAACAAACCGATTTTCATGCATGTGCATTTCAATAGCATGATAAACTCTTTGACTTTATACGACTTGGGATGTCGCTGCGGAATTGCGTGGAATGGTATGTGGCTGCAACCTTGCACTTGGCCTCGGTGTTGTCAGGTTCCACAACGGGTTGATGGCTAGAAGAAACACTTTAAACAGTTTTACGGCATCTCATGCCGTCTCTGTGCAGCGTGCATGAAGGCCAGCAGTTGCAGAGCCTGGAGCTGGTACTGTCTTAAGAAACAGAAGAAATAGCATGCAATACGTGCAAATACATATATAAAGAAAAGCTATAGTGAATACATTGTGGCCCATAGTGGCCCAACTGTCCAGTACATGTCCCCACTGTGCAAAGTCCCGCCGTCTTTTCTGATCTTTTTTCCACCATGGCAGTGTGGTCCGAATCCCAGGCGTGTGCCCATTTTCTTGCGCTACACCGGCTATAACCGGCTACACCATGGTCAAATGAACCGTGCCTCCGTTCCCTTCGATTGTAGCCCACCCCACACTACCATCTTTCAAAGCTCTGCCTTTGAGACGGCGAAGGCCTGTTGTTGGATCAACTTTTTCCCACACAAAAACCTCCAACAGCTCTCCGTCTTTGAGCTCTCGAATAGTTGTGCAGGCTTTGGCCGACAGAACGTCAGTCAATGTTGTTGAACTCTTCACTTGAAAGTGAACACGCTTTTGTTCAACGAAAACAACTCCATTGCTGCCCGTTGCAGTGGCCCAGCCAATAGCACCATCCTTCATGGCACGACATTTAACTCTAACCACTTTGTTGATTTCTTTGATGGGGCCCTCAAGAAGCTCCAATATTTCATTCACATCTAATTTACGCACAAGTTTCCCCTGTGCAACTCCCATAGTTTGAACCAGGTCGACACTGGGTCTCGACACACGGTAAAAGACAATTGCAGCTCGCATGAACTCATCCCGCTCAAGACGGCCAACGCGAGCATCGTCCAAATAATCAAAAAGCTTTTTGAGCTGATCTCTGGAGAAATTCCCAGGGCAATCGTTCATGAAGTTCTGAAATTCACTGCGCGAGACAAACCCGTCTCCATCCACATCAGCCAGGGCAAAGGGGTCTTGATCCTCTTTGATCTTCGACAAACGCGAAAGAATTGCTTGCGCTACCTCTGTGCGAATGGGTTCCATGACTTGCGCATGCTTGTTGGATGCAGTCGCTCGTAGGCGTGACACCTTGGTGGTTGCATCGGTGCTCCGCTTCCGCAACTTCTGACACTGTTCTGGATCTGCCCCACCAGCACCTGCAAAGAGCATTGGAAAACCACACAACGTTAAGTGACATCAACAACATTCAACAACAAAGAATCACACAGAATGCGAATGAAAACATGTTGTCTAGCAAACACCATGAAGACTCGCATCATTCTTCCATTTTTCCCAACAAAGGTAGTGAAAATCAAAGGGAATGGTCCCTCGTAACGTGCTCTTTTCCATCAAATGACTTGGTTCCAAGGTACGCTTCCGAGCTGTAAAACAAACACCTCGCATGGTCACGAGTCTTGCAAATGCGGGTCTTGCCTTATTGCTACCATTTTGCTATAAACAACTCTTTTGTTCGATTGCCGTCTATGTTTCCTGTATCTATTGGCAGTACTCATGCATCCTGGATATTTTTATATAATTAATGTTCTTAGATATTCGATTATTTCTAGTCTTGCTTATTCCTTAGCCAAAATTCCAGGCCCACTAGTTTCAACGTTGAGAACCAAGAAGAACCAAAGCAAAGCCACAGGAAAGCCAAGGGCCTAACCGAGGAGAATGAGGAGAAAAGAAAAGGACAAGATTCTAAGATAGGAGAAGTATGGACAAGTGATGAGTGGTAATGAGTGGTGATGAGTGGTGATGAGTGGTGATGAGTGGTGATGAGTGGTGATGAGTGGTGATGAGTGCGCCTTGTCTGGCAGCTTCCAAGTCTCGCTCAAGTGCCAACAGGTTGTACATCACCTCCCGGGTACTTTCTTTGACCTCGGATGGCTCCAGGCTGCTGGCGATGTCGACCAAACTCTTCAGCTGTTCTTCCAGCGTCTCAATGCTTTTTGTGACCCGTGCCAGCTGCTCCCCAGCTGCCATGGCAAGTGAGATCAAGAAATGTCCAAAGGTTTTCTTGCAACTCCAATCGAAAGGGTGAACTCCATAGAGCTCCACGACTGTGAATTGGACTGTTTATGACTCGATGACTATCTCTATATTTATATATATTTGTTTCCAACGCTCTTGTCCTTTTGTGTCGGGAGCAGGACTTTTTAGACTTGAGCCAGCTTCGCCAGTCAATGTACGGTAAGATGCAAGGGATACAGAATGTGCAAATCAAAAAGCTTCCAAAGTGGACATCTTGCATAGTGCTGTGTAGGGTGCAGAAGCAACCGGAAATAGTATGAAATAATAGGAAGCTGAATAGGAAGCTAAAGGATGGTAACGGCGCTTCCCTTCATAGTGCCTCGTGCCAGCATAATCTTCGTCCCAAAGTACGGATTGCAGCTGTGTAGGCAGGTGCAGCGAGAGGCAAGCCTCGAGGCGAAGACCAACACAATTCAGATGACAGCTTCATGGTCCAGGGAGAATTGCAAGAGTTCACTGATGAGAAGTTAACAAAACATCAGTACATATCAATATAATTCAATATATCAGTACATATCAGTCCTCACTTTCTCTCTGAGGAATTCTAAACCAGACATAGTGTGAACTTGTTTCCCAAACAGCATGCTGCGCACCTCCATGCCACGATGGCACGACTGCCATCTTAGTGCGCGACAGCTCAAACATGAAAAAACAGTTCTTGCCAAATGGTCCCCAAATCAATTTCAAGAATTTTATATAATGATTTTAATGATTGCATCGATGAAATGGGCTGAGCATCCCACAACTTGCTGCCCATTTGAAAATTCCACATCTCGAGGGATGATTCGAACATTGCCACGAGGAAGGGGCAGGAGCTACCACAAGCTCCCACCCGAGCATCGTGCTGCGCACATTCAGATGCTCACAGTCACATCTTCACGCTGCTTCTCCAGACTGTGTTTGGAACTTGGCCTTCTTTCTATCACCAGACGACCCATGTTGTCCTTCTGAATTCCCAGTTGTATTTTTTGGGGAAAGCTTGATTGCACCTTTGGAACATGGTATGATTTCATGTTGCATCATTTCACAAAGAGACCGCCATGAGTGTGCGATGCATATTACAGGAAATATGAAATATTCTTGGTACCTTCACCTCCCTTCTCCTTTCCAACAGCGAGCCGAAAGCATAGCGAATAGACGCTGATGTCTGACACACCTTGTTGACAAGCTACAGCAATGAAAAGCAAAAGGGACAATTTGCAGACGCTTCCGCCTCGTTCAGAATCAAGACAGCTTTTCGGCTGTCAGCATGGTCAGCACGTAGTCGGTCAAAATCGCACTTGACCTGCTCTTTTGTGCTGCTCAGCTGCTCATTTTCGAAAGTTCGATGTTACCACTTGCTCAACACGCAGCGCATCCTCACATGTTCGGATCGAGATCCCTCCCAAAGCCGCTCAAAAAGGTTGGCAATCTGCTCGCTTTTTGGCTCTGCGCAAGATTGCACCGAAGCTCTGGGCGCTCTGGGCGCCAAGGGAAAGCTACCCTGCGAACTCAGACTCGGCAAAGCCGAAAGAAAGTAGCTCCTTTCGGCTTGAAACAAAGTTCTTCAGAAGTGGCAATCAGCACAATCAGCTAACAATTAGCTAACAATCAGCTAACAATCAAGCAACAATCTTGCAATGCTTCGCACAAATCACTTGAGTAAGTATCAAATCGCCCAAAAAGGCCTTGTCAAATCTGTTTACCGTCGCTGTCGGGATGTTGATCTTCCAGGTTTCAAATCCTGGGAGTTTGATCGCTTGATGGACCAAGGAGGTTTCTGTATTGGCAATATTTGGCAATTCTGCCTTGTCCAGTCGTTGTATTTCTCAAAAGGCCAAGGAAACAGTTCAGAACCTTTCCGCCAGATGCTGCCACTATCAGAGTCCGAATTGGTGATTCATACAGTCCAGGCAGTCCAGGCCCCTGTGAACATGCAAATCAAGCATCTCATTGAATCTCATGTTCCAGCGCACGGCTTCGCCCGTTCTTCAACTTTTGGTGAAGGTCAAACGAATCTCCATCTCAGCAAGACAATGCCATGTGAAGGTCATTTTGAAGAGCAAGAAAACATATAGACTCATATAGACATAAAGTTAGACAAAATGATCGAAATTTCCTGTGGAAGCCAGCCTCGATGCCTTGCCTTCTGGTGGGCCCCTCCTTGCCAGATTTGATCGCAAATCCACGAAGTTCAATCAGTTCATGAAACATCAGGCACATAAGATCACACAAGGTCCTCGCGCATGCCCAGGAGCTCCACCTTCGAGAAACAAGTCGAACAAGTCGAATTTGATGATTCGACTTTGATGACTTTGATCTGATCTGTTTCGCAATTGTCTGTCCAGATTGTTTCGCATGCCTGCGAAGTACATGCCAACCCCAGATCTCCTGCGGATCGAGCGGCCACCTAGCCAAGCGCGTACAAAGTGTGGATATGATGGATATTCACCAAAGTTCTTTTTTACATGACGGTGTTTTTGTGGTTCCATCATGTTTCATCCATTGCGACGTTGTATTTACCAGTGTGCCTGGGCAAGACGGAGGCGGAAGTTTCAGCATGTTTCAGCCATAAGGCAAAAGCAAGAATGTGGCTATAGGATGCGCGCCCGACCACCTGTGCATTGAAAAAGTGTTCTCTTGACATCTCTGTTGCGTGACATTTTTTTCTCGGTCTTCAGATAGATCTCCTTCTCGTGAAATCTCCTTCCCCTGTCACTGTCCAGCCCTTTCTCACAACAGTTCTTTCCCATGACATCCCTTTCTCGTGACATCTCTGCCCCTTGACACCTGATTCTCCCGGCATCTCTTGATCTTGACAACTCTTTCTCTTGACCACTCTTTCTCTTGACAACTCTTTCTCTTGCGTTTCTATCACTTGACACACCTTTCTCGTGGCATTTCTTTCTCATCACATCTCTTTCTGATCGCGTCTCTTTCTCTCTAAATCTCTCCCTTGACATTCCAGCTCGCAGAACTGCACAGCGCCGAAAGAAAGGTAAGTGTTTGAAGTGTTTTTACAAGGAATGTTCAAGCACAACACAAAACTCCAGAATTCGGGAACTTGTCACCAAACCATGCATTTCGTCTGAATGCTCCTCCAAAAAGTGAAAGCTGCAGTTGTTAAAACCCAGCTTTCGTGCGACACTTCCTCCAAAAAGTGCAAGTTGAAGATGTGAAAACCATGCTTCGAGCGAGAATTCATCCAAAAAGCGCAAGTTGGAGAAGTGATGAAGCTTTCATTCCTGCGAGGCATCCTTCAAGAATGACTAAAAAAGAAAAGTTGAAGATCCAAGAGTTGCAACATCCTACTCTACTTGTACTCTTTTCTTCTCCTCTCTGCTCTTCTTTTCTCTGCTCTTCTCTACTCCACTCTACTCCACTCCACTCTACTCTACTCTATTCTTCTCTACTCTCCTCTACTTTGCTCTTCTACACTGCTCGTCTTAGATCTACGTAACACGGAAGTTTCTCTCCTACACTGCCCTTGACCAAGTGTCTCATGTAGCGAGATGTGAGATGCGCGAATTAGAGGGTCCAGCCTCAGCAACAGAGATGGCCTTGGAGATTGCATTTATGCGAGCTCGCAAGAGCACCTCAGGGACTGACAAAGCACCTGTGCAATATGTCGATAGACTTCTGTATATTGAATCATATATAGAGATCTTTTTGTGTATGTATACCTATGGACCTATGTGCATGACCCAGCTGATCGTGTGTTGAAGTCAAGCCCATTCAAGCTTCAACGATTCACATGCCTGCTGTGGGAAAAAAACGAAGACTGTCTGTCTTGATCAAGGCTCGCACGCAATGCTTGTCTCGAGAGGCAGCCTGCAAGAGGATTCGCGGAAGACTCCATCTGGTTTCTTGGCAGCAAAAAGCAAACTATACAAATAAGTATACATAAATATATTCATACATAAATACGCGTATGTGTATATATATATACATATACACATGAGTCCAGATATATATATATATCAAAATGTTTATATAAGTGCATATATTTTAAAAAAAAATAATAATAACCCCATATATATAATATCCATATATTATATATATATATACACAGTAAGTATATGTATACAATTTTGTAATTGATCAATTTTTGCAAAGTTCCCTACTGGGCCTGGTCTAGAATCATCTTGATATAGTCGCGGATTGGATTGTGACCGCCAGAGACCACAGTTATGGACGAGTCCTTCATGGGTCAAGCCGTTGAGTAGCCCTTGATCAGGTAGCTTCGCAAAGCACCCAAGAATCCCGTTTGCTTGGACATGAGTTGTTAAGATCAAGTCTATAAGAATGCTATGTCACTATTGTCAACATTGACAACATCACTATATTGCTACATTATTATATTACTACATTACTGCAATACTATATTACTGCAATGTGCAAAGTCGACACCAAGTTGAGACTTTTCTCTCGGCATTAGCTCTGCATCGGATGGCTCGCACAGCTCTTGTCGCTCAGCGGCTCTGCCAGAATTTCAGCGGAGCAAGCGCTTCTTTGGCCTCAGGGTAGCTGAGCTGTTTCGGAAGGCCAGGTTCAAAATGATTCAAATATGTGCAAATATATTCGAAAATTATTAGAATATATATACAGTATATATACATATATATTCAAATATGCTCAAGTGTAATTGTTCGTTGACTAGTCTTCATTCTAAACGTAGCCAATGCAAATCAATATTGCTTTTTTGCATGCTTTTGGTAGAAGCCTCGCAGCGTTTGGACAAGCTTGTGACTCGCCTAGCTCAACTTGATGAAACTGGACGGCAACACCTTCGCTTCCGTGCTGACATCCATCTCTGGCGCTAAGGAAGATAGCCTGAGGCTTTTTCCAAAAAGTTGTATTCCAAAGCTTTGAAAGGTTCAAGTGTCGATCACCAGACCACTCTCGCACGATCCGAGTTTGAGATTAGCGCTTTTCAATCAACATCTGACGGCGCAAATCATCAAAAGGCCTAGGTCACAACCAGGGTGCAATCACGACAGCTCGGCACCGCAAGATCCTGAGGGTTGAACGGTTTGAGAAACATGTGCTTGCAACCCCTCTGTTCCTGTCAAACATGAGGCTAAATGCAAGGCAGTCATAGGCAGTCTGGGCAGTCGAAGCTCGATGAAACTCAGAGCGTTGATCAAACACAGGGATGCGGAGAAGCTGAGAAAGGACTCACGGGTGGACAAGGTGAAATAAGGTGGATGGGTATCAAGGATAATGAAACGGAAAAATGGCTGAAGACCATTGCCGAAATCCACAGAATATGATGGACATGATTCATGGATGGAAATGGATTGGTGAGATATAGATGGACGGGTGACATAGAAAGATAGGTAGGTGCGACTTGAGTAAAGGAAGGATAGATTGAGAATGGAGGTTGGGAAGACAAGCAACAAAAAGTCCCGGAATCCCAACCTATGTGTTCTTCTTTCTTGAGCTTCCATCTATGTAAGTCTACGTCTATGTGTCTGTATGTATGCATCCAAAGGGACACAAAGTGGACAGAAAGTGAGACTTTAGTGAGGGTTCTTCAAAAGAGAGCGTCCCCAAATAGGGCAGCCCAAAATTGGCACGTAATTTTGTTATTTTTGGATAATTTATGTTGTTTATTTATATATGTATATATATTCATAGTATGTTGTTTTCTTAAAAATGTTTCTGTGGTTCATGTTGTCTACTTTGTTCCTGCATGTTCATAGTATATAGTTTTCTTAAATATGTTTCTGTGCTTCCTTTTGTTTACTTTGTTCCTGCTACATTAGTATTTGATACTATTTGTTTTTTTCATGTACTTACGTAGTTCAGTAAAGTGTTTGTCAAATAGTAGTAGGAGTGGAGGTAAGGCCCAAATCCTTTGTTGCAAATTGTTCTTCCAATGGTTTTTGCAAAGCCGCTTGGAAGTAGACCCATGGCAAACAGAAAGCTCAATATTTGTACATATATATATATATAATGTGTATGTATATTATATATGTGTGTGTGTCTGTGTCTATGTGCTCACAATACCTGATGCGTAGTAAGATAGAAAAAGTGAATCTCTTCTTTGCTACGGCAGATCCCCTTATGACATCACCATAGGTAATTGCCAATGCAGTTGTTCATTTGTGTTGATTAGATTGGTGGTTTTAACATGCAGAATTGAAGTTTGGACTTTACAACATCATAGGAGATGCAAGCACTTGCACTTGGAAGGATGTATCAATAACTATTCAGTGTAAACCAACGTGATGGATATTAAGCAGAAGGATCATCAAAAAGATCTGAATTAAAGAAAATATACATCATGTAAGCATAGATCTCAATAGTTCTACCAGGTTGTGTAATCAAATCAAGATCGCATCTAACTATCAGTAACCATGCAGGGGCATGCAGCACATGACTCTTCTCACATATAAAGTGTTCCAACCTATGTAATGCACATGAAATAATGCACATGGGGTATGTAAGGTCATCTTCGCCCAATCATCATGGAACAACCGGGAAAAGTCAATCCCACATGCATGTAGCAGAGATCAGCTTCAACCCCACACATAGCACAACCATTCCATCAAATTAGAGTTTTGAGACAGGAACCACTGGAAGAAATCCTTGTATGCATGCTACTATTGTCAATAAGAGCCACCTTGATAAATTGAAAGTGGCATTGACTTGTACATGTCTCTCCTCCAAACCAACAGTGCAAGCCAGCAAAGAGTGTAGAAAATGTATCAAATATTAAACAATACAAATAAGGAATATATCTGCGCATCTCATACTTTCAGAATTTGCATATGACTGTCATTAAGGATACCCTTGCAGAATGGTGAGTTGTATTTATTGTCATGCTAACAAAATCTATGAGTAAATCTGCTGATCAAAAATGTATTCAGCCTAAATAGAGGTGGACTGTAGTTGACGTAGAACGATCACAACATTAAAATATATCCAAGGATATGCCTACACACAGCCATCGCCAGAAGCAGACCTACAATACAAAGTGAAACAGGTTGTTAAAACCTTCTTATCAATAGGAAATAATGGTAAAGTACGCATTTTCTGAAGGGTATTATCAGATCAAATTATTGTACAAAAGGTTGTGTTGTTTTACTCTGGCATTCTCCTCCCAAGGCATATTGGCAAATAATCCATGGAAGTAATCATTGCACATTCTTATGCATTGCCATCTTTTGTTCTAAACTTTGAAAAGCCATAGCACTATTACTGACTCTATTTGAAGTCGGAATTAAATTTACCATTCTTTAGACTTGGACTGCAACTGAGTAGCCTAAACAGCTTGATGAGAGCATAGCGGCCACACCGATGATGAAGCCAAGTGATATAGCAGGTTGCCTCATTGGAACGGTATTAGATTAGTTGAGCCAAAGATAACATGTTTTTTCTTTAAATGAAATAAAGAAATAAAGTGTGTTAAGAAAGATGAGCCCTTAATCTGATCAACTAGCCAGCGTGCGTTCAAATATTCTACAAGACTCATGATAAAGATCTTGAAACTGCATTTATTTCATTGAGGATTCGAAGCTCCGAAAACTCTCAAATAAATAGTTTGAAGTTTGAAGCTATGGAACAATCCAAATGAAGATGTTCAAGCTCCGAAAAGTTCCAAATGAAGATTTTGAAGTTTCGGGAATAAAGGTATTACAGCCTTGGGGAGGCTTCAAATGAAGATTTTAAGGCTCCGAAGGCTCCAAATGAGGATTTTGACGATTTTGGAGCTTTGGAGAGGGGGGGGCAATTTTCATTTTTTTTCGACCCCTCCCTCTGGGAGCTATATATTACATCTAAATATTTCATTTTTTTTGCTGCCTCCCTTTCCTTAAGGATCTCTAGGAACCTCTGGAGATCTCTGGGGATTCGTGGGGATCTCTGGAGATCTCTGGGCATTAGTGGGAATCTCTGGGGGTCTCTGAGAATCACCTTTAAGAAGAAAAAGGAGAAAGGAGAAGGAAACTTACCTTTCCCATTTTCCCATTACATAATCCTGAAGGAGCAACAAGAAAGGTGTCACTTCACAGCCAAAAGGTGTCAAGCAAGTATTCTGACTTTTACAAGTGGTTTGCAATGTGTTTAAGCTTCTACATGTCATATAATGCTTCCATGGTATTGAAGAACATTGTGTCAGTAAAGGTCTATGTCTATGAGCATAAATTTGAACAACATAATATGATAAATAATATCAAATATGATATAGACTATAGACGAAATACTGTATTTCCAGAAACACGGTACAATGGGGCCCCTATTTGGAGATTTTCTGGAGACTTCAAAACAGGGATTCTTCGTGCATGTTGGCCCGGTGAGGCCCCAAACCAACAATGCCACCCAATATACAGATGGTGCCTGCATTCGAACCAGTGCTTCCTTGAGCATTTTGAAAGCTGCTTCGGGAAAGTTCTTTTGGGCTTGGTTCAGAAGTCGCTCAGCCACCTTCCACCTTGGACGGAGCAAGCGCCAAGTTTTAACATAAGGAAAGAAACAGTGTGTCCTGAAACATCATGAAACATGTATCTGGAAGATTCTTTAAAGGGCTGCTAGTCAGTTGTCATTTTGTTGTCCATGCTTGGCTCAAGCATCTGGAAAACTCCATGTCCGTATGGCCTTGCATTCCTTCGCCTCCATGTATCCCTTCTTGGGGAATTGCTCGAGACTTTGCAACTTTCAGGCTGGCGCCATCCAGGCCAGGACCAACCAATGCGGGACCACCCCCAGCCAGCCTGACCAATGGGAACTTTCCTCAACCAGTTTGAAAAAGTGCAAAAGAATTGTCCCAGCTTTGCAGCCCAACATCATTGACGGTTCCACATTCAAGGTGAGAAGGTCCCCGATTAGCCTCCATGTTTGGGCCGCGTTTTGACTCGTGGAAACAGTATGACAGACAAAGTGGGCGACACAGCAGCAGACAAAATAGGAGACATAAGTTGTTGAGACAAAGTGAGGGACAAAGTGTGAGAAACAGCCGGAAACAAAGTTTGAAACAAAGTGGGAAACAAGTGGGCGAAAAGGAGGCAAAGTGGGAGACACGCAAAAGACAAAGTGGAGACAAAGCGGGCGACAAAGTGGGAGACAAAGTTTGAAACAAAGTGAGAGACAAAGTGGAAGACAAAGCGGGGACCAAGTGGAGGACAAATGGGGATACACAGTGGGAGACAGTGTGGGGGACCAGCTGGCAAACAAAGCGGAGACAAAGTAGAAGACAAGCTGGGGGACAAATTGGGGGACACGGTGGGAGACAAATTGGGAGACAAGCTGGGAAACAAAGTGGGAGACAAAGTGAGAGACAGAGCGGGAGACAAAGTGGGAGACAATGTGGGGACAAGGTGGGAGATAAAGCAGGAGATAAAGCGAGAGGCGAAATGGGAGACAAAGTGGAGGACACACGGGGATACAAAGCGGGGAAAAAAGTCTGAAACAAGTGGGAGACAAAGCGGCCGACAATTCAGACACAATTGGCAGACAATTATAGGCAAGGAAAGAGGAAAAGCCGGAGACACAGAGGGAGACAAAGTGGGAGACAAGCGGGGGGATAAAGTGGGAGACAAGCTGGGAGACATAGTCAGAGACAAAGTTTGAGACAAAGTGGAAACAAAGTGGAAACAAAGCAGGAGACAGACTGAGAGACACAGTGAGTGACACAGCGGAATAGCGCAAGACACAAAAGCAGGAGACAAGCTGGGAGACAAGTGGGAGAAAAGTGGGAGGCGATTGAGACACGATTGGGAGGCAATGGAGCAAACCAGGGAGATAATGGGCAATGGGGAAACAATAGAAAATCAATGGGAGACAATTTGGAAGACAAACGGGAGAGAAGTGGGAGACAAGCGGCACAAAAGTGAGACAATTCAGACACAACTACAGAAACAATGGCGAGAAAATCGGGAGACAATTGAGAGACAGCTGGGAGCAAGGTTCCAAGGTTCTAGTGGAAGACACAGTGGGAGACAACTGGGGGACAGCTAGGAGAGAAGTGGGAGACAAGGGTGGGAGGCTCCAGATGAGAGACAGGCTGGGAGACAACAGACGGGAGACGAGGTGGGAAACAAAGTGAGACAAGGTTCCGAGGTTCTAGGTGGGAGGCACAGTGGGAGACAAGCTGGGAGGTGGGAGACAAGGTTCCAAGGTTCCTGGAACCCTGCGCATACATGCCAGAGGAAGGAGGAACGCGACGCCTCCCTGTGCTTCTAGGGGTTGAAACCCAACAGCTTCCTGCTGTGCGTATTTTTCCTAGAGTGAAGAGTATCTTGGTCTTCATCAAGTGCCCTGCTTCTCTCGCTTGGTCAAAATCGCTGACAAAGGTGTCTACCATCCAATGAAAGCAGAAGCTGCACTGTCCAACAGATTTCCTGAACTGCAGCACTGTCTTCTCAACACGGCAGCTACTCAGCTACTCGCACCGTCTTAGTCTGCGGAAACCAGTGGAAGAGTAGCCATGACCTCCAATGGATCGCATCTCGAAAAAAATCCCAGCAGCAACAAGAGGTAGATAGATAGAAAGATAGACCAATAGATACATAGACAGACAGACAGACAGAGAGAGAGACAGACAGACAGACAGACAGACAGACAGACAGACAGATAGATAGATAGATAGATGTACATACATATTGTGTATGCATATGTAGATGTGTATGTGTATATATGTATTCTAGATTTCATTCCATTCCATTTCATTCCATTTCATTCCATTTCATTCCATTTCATTCCATTTCATTCCATTTCATTCCAATCGCGTCCATTACATTACATTACATTACATTACACGGCATTACATTACATGACATCATAAACAATACATACAGGACATTAAAGCACATGAAAGGACAATACAGAACATTACAGAATATTGCAGAACATACACAACATACACAAAGTAAACAACATACATACATTGCATACAAAACATATATTACATTGCATTGCATCGCATTACATTAGATTGCAGAAGAAATACATAGGATCAGCATGACATTACATTACATTAGACTACTGTACATTACATTAGATTACATTACCTTACATCACATCACATTGCAGTACATCACACCGCATTACATCGCATTACACAACATTATTGGAACCATCGAGAACATTACATCACATCACAAAAATAGAACATACATTGCATGCATTTCATACATTCCATACATTATATACATACATGACATGCATTATTTACATTCATTACATACATGACAAACATTATATACATTACAGACATTACATACATAATGTGCACAACTTACGTAACACGCAAGATATACATCACACAAGCAACATACATTACCTACATACCAAGCATAACATACATACCATACATTACAAACATTACATACGTTGCATACATTGCATACATTACACACATTACATACATTACATACATATTTTATGTAGCATTAACAAACACGACATACATCATCACATACATCATTTACATATATATATATACATACATAACATACGAACATTATACATGCTAGTAGGTTGGATTACATTGCATTGCATTACATTGCATTACATTGCATACATACATCCGTCAGGGGCAAGCTGCATGCAAAAGTCATAACTTCAGAGTGAGCATGTGTCTATGTGGTTGAACGTTCTCTGGTATGCTTAGAGCGGAGCAGGATTTGCCACGTAGAAGGACTGTCAGATTGCATCCTCTCAATAAAGAAATCCTCAGATAGACCATGAAACCAGTGCGCAGGCAAAAAATGCGCACGGAAAAAGCCGAGAGAATGGAAAGTGGAAAACCATGGAAAACCTGCTCCCACTCGGGATCAACTTGGAGAAGTATTTGAACCATTTTGAACCAGCATGTTTACAGAATTGGTGGTGCCGAATGCATTCTATTGACCTCATGATCAGCTATTCCAAAGTGACGAGTCCAGAAGCCTATTACCAAAGACTTCAGATTCTGGGGTCCAATGTCAAACCACCACTTTCGGAAGCTCTTGGCACTAACTTTAGACATGGCTCCTCCACACACTGTCTCTTGATGTAAAAGGAGCGAGACAATGCAGCGATCGCGAGCGCAGCAGCTATCACCTTGTCTGAAAGATATTCTTCCCGGAAGATGTCAAACGTTTGGGAAACTGTTGATGTTTGCACGGCTCGATCTCACTCGGTGTTCTAAGGTGGCGTCAGGATCTTTGACTTGCGCAACATCCGAAGTGGCGCAGTCCAAAAGATTCTGCAGAAAGGCTTGAGATGCCTTCGGAGGGAAATGTGGCAAAACGTGGCGTCAAGGACTTCAAAAACCTTTGACTGCTTGGCCTCAGCTCGGAGTTCCTCAGGGAAAGCTGTCCTCCGCCAGGCCTCAGTTGATGTTACAGGAAGTCAATCAAGATAATCAAGATAATCAAGAAGCAAAGGTCAAAGGCCTCAAATAATCGCATGGACTCGGCAAAAAGTTTAGGCAACTGACAAGGAGGTGAGTGTCCCAAGATACGCGACAAGGATCAGTAAAACAGCTTTAAAGCTTTAAACAATTAAGCGAAGGACTTCCTCCCAGTGATTAGGCTGGGTTGCTGCTGTGAAGACCTCTTTGACGAAATTCCTGGAAGAAGCAGAATTGTCTCTTCAAGTCATTGCCACTTCAGATCACTTCCACTTTGAGCTGGTATCTCTTGTATAGCATTGTCGTGCCGTGATTTTCTATGTGCCTGAAGTTCTCCGCTTGCAGCAAACCATCTGCATGGCAAGGCTTCTCTTTGTGCGCCTGGTCGTCAACGGATTTGGAAATCAGGGTGCACAATGTGTTTCACGCAGCTCCTCTTGAGCACACGCAAGTCGCCTGACAGAGGTCGTAGACGATGTCCAGTGCTGCTGCATCTGCTTTTTTCTGTGCAGCAGCTGCTGCTGCTTTCGCTGCTTTTTCTTCGGCTGTCTCAGTCTCTGAGGAAGACGGTGAAGCAGGTGCAGGAGGCGCAGGTGCTGCAGGTGCTGCAGTTGGTGAACTGGGGGAGGGTTCCACAGGTCGAGGTGGCACGGATGGTGGTTCAGGTGGTCGTGGAGGTGGTGGCTTTGGCAAGACACGTGGAGGTGGTGGCTGCTTGGCAGAAGGGAAAAGTGGTTTTGGTCGGAGAGGCGGTCGTGCCTCTTCAGCTCCTTCTTCATTGTGTCTTCGCTCCCGCAAAGTGAGCTCCAGGGAACGCAGAAAAAAGACCAGATCATTCTGCCCGAGATCTATGATGATGTTGGCAATCGCAGCTAGGGCTCCGCATTTTTCGGACGGCACGCTGGGCCATGTAGCCTGCCATGGACAAACATACGCTAGGAACTAGAGATCCAGATATGTAGTCAAAGTATGTTAAATTGACTGTCAAAGTACATTTGTCACAGGAAACCAGGTACCTTCTGGAAGGCCAAGAAGCGATCGGGAAGGCACTTCAATGCTTCCTGCAAAGTCAGCCAAGAAGTGGTTGGAGTTTGATTGAAGTAGGCTATGGACTTCATTAAGCGTGTCATGTTTCAAGCCTCGGGAGTCGTGTAGACCGGGACCTCACAGCGTGCATGACATGTCTCAACTCTTGAGATCTCAAGAAAAGAATATCTGTATAATCTGTATCAGTGTCAACGTCAAATGCCTGGCTTTCAGAAGATGCTTTTGACATTGATGCCCAGTGCAGTGCCAACGGCTGCCATGTGGGAACCTCCTGGAGCCGCTGATGAGACAGGGGAATCAGTGCAAACAGTCAGACTGGTGCCATCGTCAAGTATGATATCTTCACAAACAAAACACCAGAACATAAGACATGATAAGATCAAATAATTACATACAAACTCCGTATGTATCACTGAACTGAGAATTATATAAGTATGCTATATATATATATATTGCGGATTGTGGCTGTTGATCTAAATTCCTTTATCTGCAAACGGCCATTCTTCGCGAATACAAAAAATACTTTCGCGAATCTTTCGCGAACCTCACGCTTATCTTTCACAGGGGTCTCATGTTGAAATATTTTGATACTTTCGCAAAAAAAAAATACTTTCGCGAACTCGGAAAAAAGAACTGTCGCGGAGTCTCATGTTGGAACCCTGGCGGCCTTTCTAATGGACAATCTCTCCATGAACCTTTAGATCGACAACCATATCATATATGTAAAAGATTGTAAAAGTGCAAGGTGTGTAAAATAGTGACAAAATAGTGACAAAGCAAGTAGCAGTATGTCGTAGTATGTCGCAGTATGTCGCAGTATGCAACTCATGCGAAGACAAAGCCTCCTGAGCTTCGTCCACATCTGCATGAAAGGACTCCCAAAAAGCCTAGGCTGGTTCCAAAAAGGCTGGTTCTTTCCAGAGTTCCAAAAAGCACTGTAGATCTTACTAGATTACTATAGATCTAGATTTAGGGAAGTCTTGTGAACTTCTGAGCTAATTCATTGAAGTCCTCAGGGTTTCACTGCTGACTCATGCTCGCAACCTTGGCATCATCCAAGCCATTGGAATGATGTACAACAGCCATTGGTATGGAAAATGATCCGTATTAGAATGCTGCCAAAGCTTCTAACAGAAAAGGAACCAGGAATCCTGGTGGATACGAAAGTCTAGACTGGCACGCCATGTCAATCAAAACACTCACAAAAAAAATCAACAAATCCAACCATGAAATACCATGAACATGTTCGTTCACCAACCACTTGTGTGAGAAAGGAGCCTAGGACAGTCAGAGCGATAAGACGAGAGGCAAAAGTATTGAGAGATAGAAGAAATGCACCAAGAACGAGAAAATACAACAAACACTGGGATTGAGCTTTTTTCTGGGGCATGGGCTGGGTTTTCGTTTCTTTGGTGAACCGTCTCTGTCGACTCTCTCGCGTCTGTCCTCGAAATGGTGGAACTAGTTGGCTGCGAGGGATTCTGGGCTGCCTTTGGAGGTCTCATCAGAGTCCAACCGTTGCAATGAACATCGACCAATCAACCGTCCTTCTTTTCGGACTTTGAGCGCTTCTCCTTCTTCTCCTTACTTGGCAAGAAGCATCAAAAGAAGCACGCAGAAATAGAAAGGAGATACAATCGCATCCCGCCATATCCTGCCTGTGCCATACTGCAATTGAATAATCATGAATCATGAATAATCTCACTTGATTCTCTCACAGGCCTTCTTCTCGTGGCGCTTTTTGGTCTTGTCCCTGTGTAGCTTCATCAATCCTGAAAGCTTCTATTGCTACTTGCCCATAACAACATCTTGCAAAGACTGAATAGGTTGGTCATGGTTGGTCAAAGAATATTGACATTATTGAATTATTGACCAATATCACAAAGAACGTGTTTGGGCCTGCTTAGCTTCGGACAGCACCAAAGCAACAGTCCAATGTAGGGCTTGTAGTCAGTTCCATCTTTGCTCACTACTTTCAGCCTATTTCTTATTGAGACGTTATCTGTTGAAGGAGAAGCTATAGCTCTGAAAGTCCACATTCGAATCAGAGGAGTCTGCGAGGACATCTTGTGAATATTTGATATTTGCTTTGCCCTTGCTGCATGATTCTATGAACCTCGAACTCAGTTGTTGCTCAAGCGAAATGGCTAGGGGGCGAGAAGACAATGAGAAGACCATGTAAATGACAACACCAAGCTGTGCAAAAAGTGTTCCAAGATGCTCCAAGATGTTCCAAGCAACTGCACGTGTCTCCTCCATCGACATTGTCAGTTTGAAGCAGAGGGGCTCAGAACAGCAAGGAAAGACTCTTCCAGCATTGCTCGGAGAACGAAATGTCAACGACTTGTAAACCAACTTTCACTTGCCTAGGTAGCGATACACAGAGGATCCCCGAGGTATTTGAACATACATACATAAACATATATATATACTTATACATATAATATATAATATCTGATATATGCTATCAGGATATCGGCTCTTGCACCTGCCCATGTTTTTTTTCGTGAGGGTAAAGGACTATACTATACTGCTGTTCTGTGCAGCTGGACTCATTCGGGCATATTCTGAAGATGATATCCCTAAAGATCGCAAACTTCCTGAGAGAGCGAAAGCCACAGAATCAAAGGCATGTCTGATGGAAACAAGCAGACCTGACCAGACCTATCAGGAGTCACTGTCCTTGCAGTCATGTAGCGGGGGGGGGGGCGGTGCCTTTTCCATGGCCCTTTGTGTCAAGTGAAGCTTGTTGACCAGTCCTTTCTGCAAAGCATCACACCTGGTCTGTCAAGGAGCAAAATGAGCAAATATAGAACATGTCACATGTGTTTTTGCAGATCACAGCGCGCACCATTCTTAAGCAAATGGCACCACCCGCCTGTTGTCTGCTTCTTTATATGCTGCTGCAAGCTTTCTCCTGAAGTCCTTCGAATGTCAAGTCTGCAATCGGAGAACTTGCTCTGGGGTACATTCCACAAAAACATTCCAGGGGTACATTCACTAGCAGCACAGCAGGAGACACCATATTTTTCCAGGCTTGATCACACTGAAGCAGCAAACGCCGTGCCCGTCCAATATTCCGACCTCAATCAGCCACCCGCAGACCCCTCCACTCTTGCTGGACAAGATGACACAAAACAATTGGCGTGCCCACTTGTGAAAAGGTTCTGCACATCTTCTGCAAATACTTCAGGTATGCTCTGCGCCAACATCCCAGTGTGTTCTAAACATGCCGCATTAGTGTCCGCCTCCTTGACCGACACAGGTGCTGGATGCAAGTCCGCCTGCGGATCATAGGCAACACAAGGCAGCACAAGGCAACATTAGCATCACTCAAAATGGAATGCTCAGAATGGATGGGTGCTTTCTTTGAGGTCAGAAATCGTGTCACAGAAAACACTCCCGTGCACTTCCCAAGAAGATCACGTGGAAATCGGGGAAAGAAATGCACAGGAAACAAGCTGTTTTGACTTTAGCACACTTTGGCACAACCACACCTTCAATTTCTTTTCATGTTGTTCCTGTATGTTTGCATCGTGTATCTTGTTAAATGGCTAGTATAGATAATAAGTTTTGTCGAAATGGTTGAGGCCATCTTGAAGCTTTAGCCAAGATGACACCATCCACGGCATTGCCGCTTTGGCAGAAGCTCTCAGGGAATATCAACTCCATGAACTCAGAATACGCTTGCATGTGCAGCAAAGCTATGTGGGCCAGGGTTTAACAATTTAGGTGTGCAAATGACTCCTGTCAACGACTACAGCAGCCAGAAAAGCCATGTAGTCATGTAGGACACATGCAGTGCAGTGGGGTTAAACAACTCCATCCATCCCATCCCCACAGCTGCGAAGGCGCTTGCCTTTTCGAGTGGTGTTGGAATGCCTCAGCTGCGTTGTCATCATCGAATTTGCAGCTGTTTGTTGGCAGCTGCAACACCCAGTGGTCCATGGTCTTTGTCGACCGACTCACATTCCTCACCCTTAAAATGGGTGGGTGGGTGTGGAAAAGATTCATCTTGCAGGTGTGTGGGTTTCTTGAGCCAAAATGGCACCCACAACACCTGCATTCTGTCCTGCACAAAAACTTTCAGTTTTTGTTTCGCGACACATGCAGTGCAGTGGGGTTAAACAACTCCATCCATCCCATCCCCACAGCTGCGAAGGCGCTTGCCTTTTCGAGTGGTGTTGGAATGCCTCAGCTGCGTTGTCATCATCGAATTTGCAGCTGTTTGTTGGCAGCTGCAACACCCAGTGGTCCATGGTCTTTGTCGACCGACTCACATTCCTCTTTGCTCGGCGCGGTCGACATGCATTTGTTGCATGTAACCATCGTTGCGTCACCCTCGACAAACTCGTAGGTGGATCCGTAGTAGTTCCAGCCGCATATCGTCCTCCACATGGCTGAATGTGCGTAGACGAGTGTCCTCGTGTTTCTGTGGACAACTTGGTGACGTCCTGACCTGACAAGTGGCGGCAGGTACTTCGTGTTGTTGCCCAACTTTGCCTCCAATTCTTTGATTGCTTCTCCAAGGCCTTTGACGGCGTCCTTGGATTCCGATTTGAACAGGCGTAGCTCTGCTGCCAGTCTTGAGACAACGACACGCTTGTCTTCGTGGCCCTCGTCGTTGCGATCGCCAGTGGGTGTTGTCTGCCGGTTGCTGAGGGAGGTGATTTCCTTTTCCACCGTCGAAGGATCCTTCAGGTAGTCCGAGTGTCCGAAGGCGACTCCCACGTTCACCGCCATCGACTCTAAGGCTTCTTGGGCATACTCGAGTATGATGTTACTCTTCCACCGCCCGAGGTAGCCCACTTGGCTAACTGCCCAGCCTTTTCTGATGTACTGCAACGCCCCGGAGCGCCTGGCAGAGTGCCCTGTGATCTGAGTGCCATACAAAGAGCGCCAGGCGTCTACCAGATCCTTCTTCGTGGCCCTCTGTTTGCCATTTGCCGTCGTTGAGATCATGGCGTTCGGGGAGCCCTTGAGGCCGGCGTAATTGACCAGCACTTCCAGCACTGCATAAGGGCACTTGAGTGTGCACCCTTCCTTGCAGATGCATTGCAAGGTCCTAGATACGCCCCTGGCTTCTTGATCTCCCTTCGAGTTGATGAAGAGGACAGTGACCAACCTGTTGTTCGAGTCGAATTTGATGTCCTTTGCGGACAAGTTCGCAATTTCAATTTCCCGCATCATCCAGTGGACTCCGCAGGCAAACAAGTGTGCTGCTAATCCCACCTTCGTGCCCTGGTTGGAGGGGTCCTCGAGAAGTGGGTGGTTCACCCAGATGTCTTCGGGTACCTCAGGAGCTTTCTTCCTTGGGCCCACGTTCCTCTTCGCCGCGGCCATGCACAGTTTGAAGTGGCGATCCAACAAAGATGACCACGTGTGATCCAATTCGATGTGCATGGTTTTCATCTCGATCAAATAGGAGAAGGTGGATTTGTACCCCGCGTCCTTGAGGGCCCCTGCGACTGTCTTGATGTGCAAAGGTGTCAAAGGAAAGTCGAGGTTTGCCGCTTTGAGCAATTTGTCCACCATTCTGCGCTTCGAGTTCTTTGCGGCAATGGAGGAATTGGAGTAGTAGGATGCCACGATGTTTGCCACCGCCCGGTTTCGTAGGGTCTTATTCTTGGCAAGCCCCACAGCATGGCTCCTGCCGCATTTTCTTTGCATGAGCCCTGTTTTCCTCGGCGCTAAATCCAGCCGATGCGGCTTTGGTCTGGACCTGTCATTGGCTTTGGCAGTTGTAGGCTTCTGCGCTGTTGTCGCCTTCGTGCCCTCTACGTGGGTGATCTCAGGTTCCGCCGGAGGGAGGTCAAGTCTCGGTGGATTTTCCTTCCACGGTGATGCCCAGCCTGTCAACTTGAGCCGCTTGACGGGTGAGGCTAGCATTTCCCTCCACCACGGGCCTTTGGGTTCCTTTTCTGATGCCTCTTGCCTTGGTGGAGGAGGTGGGAATCCTGGGAATGCCCCTGTGGCGAAACCTTCGTACCCTTGATAGGCGACAGGATGTGGGCCAAAAGTTAGATCATCCTCTGTGTCTGATACCTCCAGCAGGGCTGGTCCCTGTGACAAAATGGGTTGGGCCTGTTCTGATGAGGTGTCTGCCCTCAGTCCAACAAGAGGAAAACGTCGCTCCCCGCCAATTGCTGCCTTCTCCATGTTGATGTCCTTCTTGTCACAAACGTCGCCAAGTCTGTCTCCTCTGTGGGGAACCGCGCGAATGGAAGGGGTCTTGAGGAACTTGAGCAACCCCTCTGCCCCTTCGGGTGGATCTGTGCTGCCCGTGCACAGGAAGGACCGTAAGCCCTCGTGTAGTAGAGCAGGGTGATCAGCAGGAGGCCAAGGCCGCCTAGGGCGACCCCCACTCCGATCCAACCATGTGTTGGGGTCCATGGCACTAACGGTGCCCCCGCCGGAGGTGCATGTGGGCTGATCACCAGCTCCATAATTTTAGCCTAAGGGCAAAGAAATAAATAAATAATAAATGGATAAAGGTGAACCCTTGATTCCTGCGGTGCCATGGTGCACCGAAATGGATGACTCCCCACTGTCGCGCCCTTCCTTTTGCGATCAAATGGGGAGAATCAAGTTTCGGCCCTATGCCGACTTCAGCGCATGCTAGCCCAAATGTCGTTGGCCGCAGCGCTGGAAAACCAGAGTCCAGGGGCACTGGCGGGTGTCGGCAGCTTGTAGTAGTCTGCCACCCTCGGCTCCTCCTCTCTGGAAATTGGGACCCCTTCCAGTTCAGGGGGCATCGGGACGGTGGACTCCTTTTGTGGCCTGCTGAGCCAATCGGCAGCCACATTGGCCGCCCCTGGGATGTGGGAGGCCTTCAAGTTCTCCACACCTGCAATCTCGCATTGGACCGCTATCTCCGCCCCCAAGAAATTCAAAGATGAGGTGGAGTTGGAGAGCCTTTGGGTGACGGCCAGTGCCACCATGCTGTCACTTTGGACCTTGAGTTCCACCTGGCAAGATGCCAGTTCCTTCGTCCACGTCTTGATGGCCACCAGTACGGCTAGTGTTTCCACTATGCCTTGTGAGCCTGCTTCTTTCCAGCAGTCCTTGAAGCCCAATTGGTGGGCGTCTGTCTCGGTGACTTTGTAAGCCAGAGCCTTTGTTGCCCTGTTGTTGACTAAGAGGATGGCTCCTAGCCCCAACGGGCTCGCATCTGTCACTATGGTGGCCTTCGGGTACTTCTCGATGTCCAGTTTGTACTTGCGGGACGGCTTCAGTAACGCGGCTCTGAGATAGGTCACCAGCCATCGTCTTGGTTGTTCCAACTGTTTGACCGTGAACAGGTGGTCTTTTGGCCTGGTGTCCTGGCGATTTGAGCGCCTGGCAGCTTCTGCGCCCGTGGCCACGTCGTTGAGCCTCTCGTGCAAAACCTTGTAAAAGGTGGCCACCACCCAACGTGTTCTCGGCAAAATCCCTGACATCCAGGAAATGCGCCCTGCTGCTTGTCTGAGCTCCTTGATGGCTACCATGCCCTTGTTGTGCCATCCTTCCAGCATTTCGACCAGTTCAGTCACAAACTTCTCTGGAAGTCCAATGATGACATGGTCCGGTGTGACGGTGAACCGAACTCCCACCCATGTAACTTGGGTGGACCTCATGCCTTTCTGCAGTGAAATGCGGAAACCAAGGGCGGCCATCGTGTACAGGATGAATGCCAGGGTGTCGTTTCTTTCGGCCAGGGAGCCCTGCAGCACCCATGCCGCATCATCCAAATAGGTTTGGTGTTGCCCTGCGGCTCCCGGCACCGCAGACTGGAGGAGTCTGGATAGCAAGGCTGCTACTCTGCTCCAGAGGAGTGGCGCCGTCTTGTAGCCGAACAACAAGGCCACGAACATGTTTAAATCCTCATTTTCTATGTTCGGCGCAAGTGTGTGCACCAACTCCTTCTCCTCCACCGCCAAGGACATGAAGGCGTCACTGACGTCAATGACTGCCAGTTCTCGGGCGTAACCTTCATCACGTCCGTGGGCTCGTTGCATGGCATACACCGACCGTATGGAGTTGAGGAAGTCCCTGGGGCGCGGAAGCACAAGTTTCTCCGGCAAGGTGGCTTTCTTGTTGCCTCCGGATCGTCGAAGGTCAAGTATTATCCTTCGTTTTATGCCTTCTGGCTTGTGCTTGATGATGAGCCCCAGCTTGCTGATGGTGCCGTGTTTCATCTCGTCCGTCACCGTGGACTTCTTGACGTCCACCATGAAGCCCGCTTTGCGGTACCTGTCCAGCTCCACCTTCGCTTCCTGCACGTTCTCCTGGACGCTGGAGTAGTTGGAGATGCATCCTTTGCTGAGCTGGCCTGCGGCGTCCTCCAGCTCTTGTTGTCCGGGATAGTCCATGTTGTTTGCCTCTGCTGGAGGGAAAATGCCAGCTGTGGGGATCGTGGACTCGATGCCTAGAGGCGCCCCTCTCCTGATCCAATCACTGACGTGCACCTCGGGGTCGTTTCCTCGTGTCACCCACGCTTCGATGATCTCCGGGTCGAGTGGTGACACATAGCCCCATCGTGGGGTCATTTTGACCGCTGGTGGAGCATTGGCACCCAACACCCGCTTGAGGTGTCCCTTCCAGGTTTGTAGCAACCTGTTGTCCATCCAGCATTCCTTCGTGCCGTACTGCTCTGCCACCGTCATCACTCCTTTGTTCTGTCTGCAGAAGGTTTCCCATACGGCTCTCACACGGATGCCTAAGGACAGCAGGTTGGACATCGAGATGACCGTCTCGTATGGGTTGCGCATGCCTCCAACGAACTCGGCCGGGTCTCTCAACTCCGCCTTGGATTTCTGAGCTTTGAGGGAGCCGTATTTGCCTTCGCCTTCCACCCAGCCTTTGTCACGATTGGGCTTGAGCTCGACCTTCTTGGCCTTTGGCGTTCTGGACCTTGACCTTCTCGCCGGTGGGCTGCTGTGTCCTGCTGGCCTGGCTGGCGAGCTGCTGCGATCTCTTTCTTCTCTGTCCCTCTTCAGCGTTTCGTCTGCCTTCCTCCTTCTCCTCGTCGGAGGGCTGCAGCTCGGAGGTCGGAGCGTGTTGTGTTCGACCACCTCGGCTTTTCTCTTTCTTATGGTACTTTCCAGACTTGTCATGCGTTCCTTCAGGTACTCCTCCTTGCCCATGAGCGTCAAATGCTGTATGGCTAGCTTGGCATAGGCCTCGCAGAATTCGTTTGGATACCTGCCAGACTCTTTTGATTTCTGAGGGCCTATTATCGCATCGTGTGGTGCGAACTCTCCACACCCGCAACGTTTGCAGAGTTGTTCAATGCCCAGCAACGTGCCGACGAACTTCTGTGGTTTGAAGTGACGTTGGCCTCTGGGCAGATGACCTTGGTAGGCGCATGTGTTGAAGGCTGCAACCCTCCTGCCGCTCCCTTTCGTGAAATCCTTCATCTCCGGGAGCTCCCATGCAGACAGGTGTTCTGGATGTTCGGACTCCGGAGGGTTCTCCAAGGTGGCGATGCGTTGAATCTTCGATGTGGTCTTCCTGTCTGCCACGGCGTTTGCCATGTTTATGGATCTGCAAGCCATGATTGTACCATCGTCACAAGCTTGTTGTTCACGGCCTGTGTTCGACTCTTTCCCATAGGGCTCGCTTTTTGTGCGAACTGGTCCTGGGAGTCCTTCCACCTCCCTAAACTTCAATCTGCTGAAGGTGGCACATGGAAAACCTGAATGAAAGGCATCGATGTAGCCCCTTTTTGCCCATCTAAGATGAGTGCCGTAGGGTTCATCCATGAGGAGGTCTCCGGTGCCTTTGTCCTTCTCGATGCTGAAGGTTTTGAGCAGCACCTTCCTCTTCGAGGCCTCGATCAGCATGGCCTCGGTGAGCGGATCGTCGGGCCCCGCGAAGTGGTGGACGAAGATGAAGGTTCTCCTCCGGAAGTAGTCCTCCAGGGAGTCGGCGTCTATGGGTTCTTCTTCTTTCCCACCTTCACCGCTGTCTCCCTTCTTGTCCTTGTCATCCTCGTCCTCCTTCTTTTTGTCTTTCTGGTCATCTTCTTCATCCGTTTCATATGTGTAGCTGTATTCGGATTCACCGCCCTTGCTCCCACTTGTCTCTTCTTTCTTTTGTCCTTCGTCACCATGACCTTCTCCGCAAGTGTTCATTCCTGCATTCGATTTGGGCAAGACTTCGACGGGTGGCCTGGCGAGTTGCAGACCGTGCAACGGTGCAGACGTTGAACTTTTCCCGCACAGGTTTGCCCCGGTGATAAACCTCCACAGGGTGGTGTACCATTGTTCCAGCTGTAACATTTTTGTTTTGTAGCACCTTTTCCTTTGCCTTTCTTTCCTTTCTTTCCTCCTCCGTCTCCTGAACCTTTTGGCTCTGGGGAACCTCGTTCTTCTGCTTGTCCATTTCGTTTCTTTTTCCTTCGCCACGTTCTTGAAGCTGACCTCGAATGTTGTCGCTTCGAGTCCATGGAGGGCGTGATCGCTTTGAGGCCCCCTTCCATGTAGCTCATGGCAAGTTGTTCCGATGGAGTCTTTGGGGTGCCCCGGCTCCCTGCCGCCAGCCAAGTGAGTGCTGGACCCACTACCTGTGTCTGCCAGAAGGCGTCGTCCAGGATCAGCTGCTGGAAGACCCAATCCCACGGTCTGGCTGGGTCCCAATTGCGTGGGGCTGTTCTTCCACCCCTCAGGTCCATGAGGAGCTGCGATCTCAACCTGTTTGAATGGCTCGACCTCGCTAACTCGTCTGCGCTGTAGATGAGATGCCACGCCGTGGAAAATGTCCGGGTGAGCCTTTCCACATGGGCCTCGTAATTGTGGAGGGCTGCAAGCGACACCGCATCCAGCATGATGAGCGTTGTCCGAAGGATCCGGAAGCAGGCCCTCCACTGAATGAAACCCGATGGCCCCGGCAGATCTTTGGTGGTGTAGCCACTCGAGGTCAATGTGTAGTTCCTGAACTTGCTCGCTCTCAGAGCCTTCGAGCCGTAGGGAACGAAAATGGCAAAGTCCACATAAGGGGCTGTGTCTTGTACTTGCAGCCTCCTTTGCACCCCTGAAAGTTGTTCCATGGTGGGTTCCTCTTCCTCCTGGGGCCATCCACCAACAACTTCGAGGTATCTTTGATACCAGGCAGCCTTCGTGTCCTCGTTTTGCACCGTGAACTCTCCATCGTCTGCCTGGTCGATGATGTTGTTCATCTTTAACTTCCTCTCGGCTTTGGGGCTGGTCTGTGAGTCTTGCCCTTGTGTCGCAACTCCTTCGGGCCCTGGTGCACCTTGATCTCCAAAGGGTGATGACTCTTTCCAGCTGTCCCAGTCTCCTCCACCCCGGGTGTGCACTATACGACGTGCCAAGTTGTATACAAGGCCCACATGGGATGCTTGAATTGCCGAAAGGAAGCTTCCTTCGGGTAGTTGTGCTCGTTCCAACGATGCTGCCACTATACGGGGAGGTAAGACAGCTAACAGCTTCAGATCGTCGTTGGGATCGCCGCATACTTCGATGAAGGACCTCCAAACCGGATCCGGCAGCTGATAGTGTTCCCGTACCGCCGTCACGGTGGTGAATTGCATGGCAGCAGTTTGGGTTGGAAACATGGCAGCCCGCACACCCAAGCAAAATCAAACGAAAAAGATTCATCTTGCAGGTGTGTGGGTTTCTTGAGCCAAAATGGCACCCACAACACCTGCATTCTGTCCTGCACAAAAACTTTCAGTTTTTGTTTCGCCTCAATGTAAAGCCATGACGTCGCTTCTTTCTTTTCTTCTCTTGTGTAATTTTCGCATCTTTCCGTCACCAGGCAAAGGGATGAGGCGCTTTTGAACTTTAATCGGAGGCTTCGTTCGCATAGAGAGAATTTGATGTTTTGATATGTTTTGTATCACTGTTGGAAATGTTGCAAAGCTTTGTTGTTCATGTTCATGTGCAAAACAGAGGACTGGCAAAAGTACAAAGAACGTCAAGTGAGGAGCTTCCGCATGTGTGGGCAACAAGAGTGCAAGAGCGACTGTACCCAAACACCAGTGTCAAGGCAACCATGAGAACTTCCAACTGCGCTTCCGCGACTTGCAGATTGGGACTATTCAAGATTTTGCTGGCTTTGGGCACTTCCGATTTGAGCTTGACTATGTCTTACCACAGATTAATTATGATATATATATATACAGACAAATACTGCAAGTACGATAAAGCAAAGAGCCAGTGCAGGGTGGCATTGCCAAATAGCATGGGTAGCGAGACAGTACAAGGTATATATACATGGCCCAAACCTGAGCCCTGAGCCCCAATAATCCAAGCACCAAAGAAGTACAGTAAGAAGAAGAAGAAGAAGAAAACACGTCGTGAGGCCATTGAAAAAATTGAAAATGTCGTGTGACACAAAGCATTCCTTCCATTTCCCCATTTCCCCATTTCCCCATTTCCTTTCTCTTTCATTTCTTTCATCGCGCGACCGCGACCTCTTGGATTTGCTGCAACCATGACCTGGAGCTCGACTTCATTTCTGCTTGGCCAGGCTGAGACATGGAGATAAGGGCACCACCTCAAAATCAGGAAGCTTCCATGGATGCACCATGATGAGTCTCGCAGTTAAAGACATCTTGTTTGCATTTGGCAGTCCTGCAGTCCCTTCCAAGACTTGCAGTTATCACAGGTCAAAGCAATGAAGGGATGGCCGGGATGGCTGATATTGGCTGATTCTGCAAGTCAATAGGTTCAATGCGCAAGGAGCACGTCCAAGATCTAAGAGCGAGGCCAGGAGCAACGACCCTCCAGACCTGGGAACTGAAACAACTGAAACAACTGAAACAGACCTGCAAAAAATGGACAAAATGGACTGGTTGGACACCTTGGTTACTGAACTATGCTGCACCTTTGTTTATTACAAAATCAATACGTCTTCTTTGGGTTTGGGCCAACTGAGCCGCAAGCTTCTGCCAGCATTGTAGGAAGTTGCAGAATCCCCCGCCTGCAATGCGGGTTGCTTCAAGATGCTTCAAGAAACCCGCAACGTTAGCCAACATTTCTCGCAAGACTCCCATTTCAGCATCCACTTCACAAATTCTTACTGCACACATGACTCCCCATGTGTCGATCTGACTTTCAACTCCCAGGAACCAGAAACATCCCGCAATACAGCGTGATACATGTACATATGACAAAGCATTGCTTTTTCCTAAGATAAGTCTTTTCATAGTAGCCATGCTTCAAGATGATAGAGAGAGAGAGAGACATCGCTTGAGCATGGACAAAGCTTGCCAAGCCTAGTGCTTCCCACAGCATCAAATAGACCTTTCCTGAGTCGAAAAGCTTGCAGGACTTGCAGCCACTTGCAGCCTTCCTCGCTCTTGCATCAGTCTCCAAAACACATGGATTTTGAGGACCAGGACTCCAAGACTAGGTCAAAGCACAAGTCTGGATATGGTAACCTGAAAGCTGGGGGTTAGCAGTGAGTATGGGTCACGTCTGCGTTCTACGTGTTCCTAGCATCAAAAATGCAAAGTAAAATAATCAAATCATCCACAGATGTAGTTTTATGATGAATGTTGGCGGTTTGTCCTTTGGCTCTATGTTTTTTAAAAGTTTTATGAATTTTACTTTCTTTGTTTGCTTTGCTTTCATTTTGTTTCGGTCATCTCCTTGCCATATCTTGATAGAGGGATGAGATCCTGAAACTGGAAGCTATGCCGCTATGCGCTGAGAAGAGGCAGGATATTTGCAGAACCCGTTGATATGAAGTTCGAAGCGGAACTACAAGTCATCGTTGGCTTTGCCCTTCATAGCGAAGCTTAATCAATTCCTCTTTTCTTTCCCATTCCCTTGCCTGAAAAAAAGGAACCTACAGTATAGTTGAGGGGAATAATTGGGCAGGGGTCTCACTCGCGACTCGGAAATCGCTCACTTGCGAACTTGCGACTCGAATATCTTGCCATATAAGTTCTGCTTGGGAACATCCAACAGAGTAGGGCTATATTTCTACAAACAAGTATGCACTGTACGTCCATTCAATAGCTACAGTACAAACATGGCAAAGCTTCTCATTTTTTTTAGGTCAAAAGAGTCGTGACTGCCGTGCCTTCTCACGTCGCCGACACTGAAGATGAGCCTAGTTCCTGGACCTTAGCAACGTGCTACAGCAGATGTTCAACATGGAACCCAAAATAAACTTCACAGACAGTAATGTTGTAAGCCAGAACGTAACCCCATCATTTGAAGGACAGAAGACAGCTATTCCGGTGCAACAGTTTCAAGTCCGCAAAACAGGATGGTTGCATTTGGGGGTAGTAGCCAAAACTTATGAAACTTAGATTTTTTCGACGGCAGTGAGTTGCAAAACGACCTCACAATATCTCACGATTTCCTTTGGTATGGCGCTTTGCGTTTTTCACTCCTTTCGTGCTGTTACCAATTTGATGCGGAATCAAGGCTTCAGCTCCTTGGTGGGGCTACAGCCTCTCGGAAGAGCGAGATGCAAACCACGGCCAAAGGGACCAACATCGGAGAATACATGAGAATACAAGGTTTATCAGTTTATCATCGTAAATCTGAAAGTAAATCTCACTTGACAACGAAGTATGGCGAAACAGCAATGGCAGCAGTCCGCTGAGCCTTCTGCTGGGCTATGGCTTCTGGGGAAATGTCACAGCCAGCGATGAGTCGGGCTAGTTGGTGAGTGGCCAGCTGCGCAGGCAAGCGTGAGGTGCCTTAAGCTTGGCAGTGCAATTCCAGCAGTTTGGCATCTAACACATCTTCTGACAGGCAAATGGATCTGTCTCTCCTGGATACATGGCCCTGTCCAATCCTCATATGTATATATATATATACGTACATGCTTCAAAAAGTTTCATAGGTAATCTTTGTGTGGAGTCTGCCCCAACCTAGTTGGCCTAGTCGGTAGTTGGGAAGGTTTCCCATCTGAAGCCAAGATGCCACATCCAACGTCAAGAATTCTCCGTGGTCTGGACTGAAAGAAGCTCTCCAATAACGGCTTCAAATCCTTGAGCTCGGCTGAACCATGGGCGGAACACACCAGCAGGTTCAGTTTATACTGCCGCAAAAAATGCAAAAAAAAATGCAAGAAGTATTGACAACCCAGCCTGCCAGTCAATATTGTACCATTCAAGGATTTCTCCGTGTTTTAATTCTCCAAAAACGCGGTTGTAGTATTCAGGCCTTGCATCAGCTGGCAGGAGCCCCCCTTATCGATTTCTGGGCAGGATGAAAACTGCACTTCTTCACTGGCGCAAAAAAATGATCCTTCTTCACTGACCAAGATCAAAACTAACCTTCTGCCAACTCCTCGCTTGATTTGGTCAATTCCAGCCCGTTGGCTCACTGCTAACGTGCAGGGAGGACGTGTCAAAAATGCAGCGCCTGAATCAGTGGAGAAAAGTTGCCCGTGCAACCTCTTTGAGTTGGAAGCTCACAGTATTACGCATGTCTCCATGTGTTAGGAGGCCTTCTTGAGCAAACCAAAAGCACTGTCAAAAACCCTTTGATCGGACAATGGGCTTTTCATAGTGACCAAGCAACTTTATTTTGCAAGCTTCCGAGTTGTGGGCAAATGTCAATGTGCAACGTTTGAGTTCGGTAATTCAGTCACACGGGTAGCATTGCTAGTTGCGAAGTTGATGCAAAAGGTAGTGAAAACATTGGATCGTGTGCGGGTGAAAGGAAGGAGGTTGCCAAGAGAGGGTCTGTGTTTCCGCGCGTGCAAGCCTTGGTTTGGGAAGCTGTAGGACCACTGTAGGAAGAAAGCAGACGAGACTGTAGCGGAAAGAGCTTCATTTTCACAAAAAACATTTCAAAAGAAACCGAGAGTCTCAATCTCAGGCCACTTTTGGCAAATGAGGTCCGGAACAAGTGCGCGAGATTCTAGCAAGAGCTCGATACTGCGACTGATGAGAAACTGAGAAATGTTCAACTCACCACATGCTCCAAGTACCTCGGAAAAGTCCGCACTGCGTACGTGGCACACACAGCTACCGATTTGTGCGGCTCTCCTGCTGCGACGGATTGCGACCGGTGTGTGCAAAGCGCATTGGAGCTGCTGCTCCTGGAATTGGTGTTGATGTGTGGGTGCGTGCACAGGTGCGTCTGTGCTATGCGGATTTGCAACCGGTGTGTGGAAAATGCACTGGACTGACAGACTTTGGATCTGATGGGACTATCGTGCTATGCGGGGATGCAACCGGAGGTTTCTAAAAGCACGGGAAGCGCTGTGCGAAAATAAGATATTCTGCAGAGACGAGGTAGCTCAGAGTAACTGAGTTTAAAGATGTAGCGAAAAGGAAAGAGTTCCTTGGCAAAAGAAAGAAACGTTGGTTCAGAGAAGAAGCAGCTCAGAGAAGGGTAGCTCAGAGACAAGGCTCGGAGACGAGGTGGCCCATGGAAAAAGCACCTGGGCAGAGAGGTAGCTCAAAGAAGAGCTGCGTCAGGGAAGATTTGGCTATATAAGAGGATCAGAGAAGAAATGGCTGGGAGAAGTAGTTGCCAAGAGAAGGGAAGGCTCACTCATTCTCTCCTTCAGTCCAAAGTCATTCATATACTCACACATTCTTTCAGTGGCTAATTCCAACATTCAACTGTTCAGTCAGTCGTTTCTTCAGTCATTCAACCAATCAAACGTCCTTTCTTCAGTCATTCAACCAATCAAACGTTGATGTCAATCAGCAGCCCTTCCTATGGGCCCTTCATTTCCTATAGCCACTGAATATCACCGAAACTTCTGCCCTGGCATGGCGGGGTAAGTCTCCTGACATTGGAGAACGCGTGCATCAAGGAGAAACCATCCAACAACCACACTTGAGCCACTGAGATAGAGTGACCGCGAACATGTCCCAATTTGGTTCATCCCAGTTTTCCATTGGTGTGCAATTTGTTTGCGGATTACTTTTGACATTCTCCGGTAATTCTGCTATGAGCACCAGCTGAGGCAGAAACCTTCTTGCACAGAAAGGGGTTGCAGCCTTCGGCCGTGTTGGAATCAGAGCTGCTGCAAGCAGATGTTGGAACTGACTTGAACTGACTTGATCTGAGAGCAAGGCTTTCCGGCAAGCGGCCAGCATCAGATGTCTAGATCATAGTCTGTTCACTGTCGTTTCTTCTGGTTCTGAAAATTGGTAAGCGCCCACAACTTCCAACACGTTCATTATAATTGTACATTATTGTCGTAGTTGTCCAATATGTGTGTGTGTGTTTTTCCTTGCTATATTTGTTATGCATGCTGTGTTTTTCTACGCTTCACCTCTGTGCATGGGTAGATGCAGTGTTTGGTAAAGGATGGCATGTGCAGCATGTGCAGCATGTGTGTTTGTTTTCGTACGTGCTTGTTTTTGCTTCTGCCAGTGAGGTCTTGACGCCAGCAGAGATTGGAATAGAACGAAATGACAGCAAATGTCTGGACGATGCCCAAGGACAGGAAACAAAGATGAAGAAAAAGCGTGAAGAAGTTCAGTCCTCTTCTCGAAGCTCAGCTTCGATCTTGCTCTTCTTTCGGACATCCTTCCGAAGATGCCAGATTTTTGCAGTCTGTACTGAAATGCACTGAATAAATTGAAACATTGATTCACACCAACATGAGAAATTGGTAAATGTCGTTTTGCTTTCCACATCAACAGGTGCGTCCTCAAGCTGCTCTTCTGCATTGAGCCTCTGCCTAACCTAAGCACTGGCATCCATATTCCGGACAAAACATGCAACTTTCTTGTTTTCAAAATTACAAAGGTCACGACCAATTTGTTGAGTTCCTCTGTCTGGTGATTGACCTGTGCACACACAATTGTCACCGGCACCATCCTGAGAGCGACTTGGCCAAAACCGAAATGTTTGTTCTTCACAAGTCCATAATTTGTTCATTTCTAGTGAAGGTTCTACAGCTTTTGTCGTGGCCAAAAACATCCAAAAACCGCCAAGACCAATCACGTTCATGTGGAGCGGTGGAGCCTGTTCAGATAGCTTTCTGGAAGTCTCCTCGGCCCCAGCTCTGGCTTTTGACAGCTCTAAATTCGCCTGGCAGGCAACTGGCCAAAGATTTGAAAGAAACACACCGTGCACGACCGTCCCCACAGTGCTCAGAGTGCTGAAATTTGTTGATCTTGCGCAAGGGTGTGAGACGTCTTGACCCACCAACACGTGATGCCTCACTTTCCTTGTGGATGCGAGCCAACAAGTTTTCACATCGCTTCTGCATATCCTCCAAACTTTCGTGATTGGGCACAAGCAAGGTGCCCGAATCATCGGAAGCAGTTCTTAGATACAAAGTGTCCCATGTTTCCCTTGTTCCACAATCTCACCTGTCTTATGCGCACCTGTTGCACAAAAAAACGGGTGACTGATTTGACGCTGGTGACGAAAGTCACAATCTCTCTTGCTTAAAGCAGCACACACAAAATCTGGGCAGCTAACGCATGACTGGAATGGAGATTGTTGTTGATTTGGCTGCTGCAGCAAGCCGTTTTGTTGAGGGTTGAGGCCTGAAGGGAGCACTTGAATTGAAGTTTCTGTTCTTTTCATATTTGGCCCACATAGCACAGGAACGATATGTGCCATGGCAGACGTAACCGAACTGAGTACCCTAGCCTCCGAAAGCAAATAAAAGTGAGCCATTTAGTCAGTTGACCCTGGGCTTTGAAATCTATTGTCTCCCACCCGTGCTCAAATTCATCCACTGGCGCATAAGGTTTGTAAACACAAGCACTTACACCCCCCTCCATGACAGCCATATCTACGTAGTGTGCTCTTTAACTCAAGGAACTTTTACTATTATTCTACTTTGCAGGAACTGCCAGGCAAACAGTATGTCAGTATTCCATCAAGCACGTCCTGCATTGCTTGGCGCATGCTCTCATAGCTGCTTCGCTCAGGGGAGGTCCTCAACGGTGAACCCGTCCATGTCTTCACAAAATACATCAAACAACCTTACTAATGTAACCTTGTATTTGCTTCATCGTGTTGCCATGCCAAAGAACATCATTTTTCCGGTTGATTGATGGCAACATACCTCTTCTCTCCAAGAAAGAAGGCTAGCGGCTCACCTACAGTAGCCCATTTCTGGTTCGGGATTCATGGCGCAACTAGAGCAGTACATAGCAGTACAAAGCAAAAGAATCACAATTGGCAAAGGACTCGAAGTTCCTTACAAGTTACTTTCGATACTGATCGCACCGCCGATGGCACGGTATGCATGGCACACAGGAGGCAAACCACACCAGCAATGGGACGCACCGGAGCCGAAGCCGCAACAGTTACAGCAGTTCCAGCAATCACAGCAGCCACTCCGGGCCACTCCACTACGATTTTCATTGCGAAGAGACTTTCACTTGCAAAAGCAGGCCCAATCTCGGGCGCTTTTGCTTTGTCCTCTGTAGCCTCAATAGTCTCTGAACAGAACATGATTTTAAGTTAGCGGATTGTAGGAGCTCTGTAGCACAGCAGCAGACCCATTTAAACATGCCGTGGCCTGGATGCTTTGGGAAAGCTCGGTATGTTCTTTTGCTTTTTTTTGTCGCTTCTTTCACCCTCATTGAAGCATACAACACTGAGTCTAGCTGCCCTCCAGAAAGGGCAACGGCTGGAAGCATCACCTCCGAGTGTCAACAATCTTGACTACAGAAACTACAGAAACTGCCGTACAATTCAGTGGTTGCTCACGGATGAGGCCAGTGAAAAGAATATGTTCTAAGCCATTCTAAGCTGTCGGCATCTACTTCTACTGGGTGTCAAGTCGCTGCAACATTACAGCACTTGCCAACATGCAAACTTCTTTCATGCTGATGACAACTCCAGCATCTGCAATTTTTCAGCCACTTTTTCTCCACTTTTTGAGACTCTTCTACTCCTCTGCTCCTTCCTACGCTCTCTGCAAAGCAGATGTTCCACAACTCCATAACTACACCAAGCTGAGCAGAAACTGGACCCGGATCAATCTGTAGGAACTATTCAAGTGGTCAATCTAAACGACTTGCTTTGGTGCGCAACTCTTTTAATACTATGCTTGCCATGGAGAAAATATCAGAATATAGAATAGGACTTGCACAACTCTGATTATGTATCCCGCCCTTCCGTCAAGAATCATGCCGTCCATCTTGGATGACATGATGGTGATTGGCGAGACCCGTTACATCATGTTACACCGACAAAACTTGGACCAATAAAAAAAGACTGCTGAAATCTCCGACTGTATCTATTGCTTCCACAACTTCTGAGCTGCCAACACCCTTGGGCTCTAGCTTCATCATGTTTCATCTTATCTTCTAGGTCTCTTTCAGTTTCGTGAAACACTTCTTGATTTGCGGTGCTCACGGCAGTGCTCACGTGACTCACAGCGTAGTGTGATGTCACTGGCCACCTTTGTTGCCTTCAAACTTGGAGTCTGGCGCCTGAGTTGCATTCCGCCCCAACCACGGTCCCTGGAACATACATATGTGTGGAACATGCATACACATATTTGTATATACATGTGTATGTTATATATATATATTATGTATTGTATATTATGTATTGTATATTATGTATTGTATATTATGTATTGTATATTATGTAAATTATATATATAGTGTATCTAATATTATGTCGATATCAATATATAATATAATACAATATATTATATTATAATATATAATATATAATATATAATATAATATATTATAATATAATATAATATCGTATAATATAATATAATATATTATAATATATTATAATATAATATAATATAATATAATATAATAATATGATATAATATATAATATATAATATATAATATATAATATATTATATATTATATATAATATAATATATAATACAATATATAATAAATAATACAATATATAATATATAATAATATATAATATAATATATAATATAATATATAATATAATATAGTATATATTCTACAATATATAATAATATAGTATATATTATATAATATATAATATTATATATAATATAGTATTATATTATATATTGCATAATATAATACTATATTATATTATGTATTATATATCTTATATATTATATAATGTATATATATATATATATATATATTCCCCTTTTTCCTGTTGAAATATCTCGACGTGGTGACATCGACGTATCACCACAGCACTGAGATCTGCACAATGGACACTGTAAGGCCATCCTGCTGAAGCTTCAGGCAGAACTGCTCAGCCAGAGCCTCTGCAGTGCAATGCGCAGCACTTTGGCCGGCTTTTCTGGCTCTTCCGCTTCATCACATATGATTCCTTTTGCAAGGGGCCCGAGGATCCCCACTAAATGTGCCAAACTTTGACTACTTTGTGCAGCTTCGCTATCCATCTCTATCTTTATCGCTATGTCTATGTCAGGTGTCTACTCCGTGACCCTGCCTTCCAAACGCAGGCAACAGTCGCTTTGCCAGAGCTGTGGGCCTCGCTCGCATCACATGTATCATGGATGCTGCATCGGTGGAGAAGTCCGGTTGTGCACGCTGTCCTTTCTGCCCCCTGCGAAACCACAAAAAATAAATCCGGGATGACCCTTTGAGATCACCTTCGCATCTCCTTGCTACCACGCATAAGTTGGACCTTCACCCATCGAATGTGGCCACATAATGCCTTGGTGGGTTGACATCCTGTTGGCGCAGAAATCATCGGCAAATTTTGGCACTGCAGCTGCAAGTGTACCTGTTGCTTGTCAACAGTCTCGTTCTAAGTCTCGCTTTGGCAAAGTGAATTCCATTTGGAATTGCGCTCACGTGTATTCCACTGCCTTTTTCAGCAGCAACTCACGCAGCGGTCCAAGCAACCTCAAGAGAGCAAATGTTGAACTGTTGAATCAAACTGCAGGAAACTTCGCAATCTACTGTGCTCGTAGGATATATTAAAGGGTAATGACGGGTAATGGTCATGTGTACCGCTTTTTGCTGCCAGGTAACCGTTCGAAGGACCTACGATCCAGCGACAAGACCTTGAGGAAACAGTAAAATTGAGGATCTGCTTCTGATATCTTCAGTCATCTTCTCACATCTTCCGAGTCGATCTGATTCAATCTCCACATAATCCGAACATAATCCGAACATCTGCAAACCCTGGTGCCTTTGCTGTGTCACTGGTGACCTTCACACTGGCAGCACGTGGTTCCTCCTCAGAAAGCTTCGACAACTCCACAGGATGTGATCACAAAATGGAGCAGGAAGAAGAGTGGCAAAATGTGGCAAAGAAGACTTTGCAGATTCGCACAAATGATCTTCTATACATTTGCTTAAGATTGCTTGAGTCACTTTTGCAAATCAATTCTGCAACAAGTGGCCCTCAGCATGGCTAGCTCACCAAAGTAGCTTCCAGCAGAGTACTGCATGACCTGCATTCTCCAATTATCGCGTCCCAGAGACATCGATGGTGGCCAACTCAGGACTAATATAAATCAGTTCGTTGAAGGTACAAGAAGCAAGCGTTGTCTACATAATCTATGCCTATGGGGCCTATGCTATCACTGGTGAGTCTGATGTGAAAAAAAAGCACCTCCACAGGCTCCGAGCCATCTCGCTGCTTCAAGGCCACCAAGGACCCCTCCTCCACGATGTAGAAGTCATGTCCTTCAGCGCTTTCCGCAGCCATCTGATTCCATCTTCTCTGCCCTGAACAATCTGAACACACCGAGTATATATGTAACTTCAGAACCATAATGATGCTATAATATGGGCTATATATAATATTATATAACTATATGATCTATAGATAATGCTATGCTGATGGCATCTTGATGCAACCTGTATCACTTCACCTCCCGAAACTTTCAGCCCACAGCTGAATGACAACCCGCTCCTTCATCACCTTGCTGAATCACGATTGCATCCTGCAAAGATTCCACACGTGTCAAACTAAAAATGACAAAAGGTACAAACCTTGTTCTTCTCATTCTTCTCAACCCTATGGGTACCAAGAAACAAACACTTTACAGCATGTATGCCACAACTTTGCATGGAAATCACAAATAATTTGAAAAGAAAGCACATGTCCTTCTCAAATGTTTGACTCTTCAAGGCATCTGAAACTTGCACTCTCTGGCAGTCGTCAAGGGAGAAAAAAATGGTGACCTGCACAGAGACCATACTGAGGTGAGACACAACTTGGAAGAATCACTGCATCCGTCAGCACAGCATCCAATAGCATCCACCATCATCAGTGAATCATCAGATTCATCAGTACCAACACCTGCCAACACAGCAGTGATCTACCTTCTCCAGCAGATCAACATATTTTCCCGTCTGTCGGGAGGCCGCTTCCTTCGCAAGTTAAATGTGAAAGCACCGATTTCATGTTCAAGTCAAATGCATTTGGATTTTTTGTGTGATTCGTGACATTTCTTCGATTTGGAGTCCTTCACGATGTGGTTGAAAGTTTCCCTATCCAACTGCCAGGCAACGCCTCGGATGTCGTATTGTGAAGTCATCCCAAGTCGGGTCTATCATGATGTGTCACGGGTTCTTGCCAAGAAACACGTGTCAGTTGCATAAACGCTTGCAGCCAGTTTTGCATTGTAGAGAAGCGCCTTTGCTGTGCTGCTAATATTTTGAGACTCAGAAAGGTTCTTGGCAAAGTTACAATGTCGTTGCCCAAACACTGAATATCATTGAATCACTGAACTTGTATTCCAAAGCACGAGCTCCCCGAAAATGTCTCCTGGAGCGCATTGCTTGACCACCTTGCGGCTATGTCTGCTGTGGCATCATGACAGGAAATAAACAACACTTAAACACTTCAGAAAAGGACGCTTTAACCGACTGCATCCGACTGCACAAATGATCAGGAAGAACAGCACCTTTGTATGGCATTGCGACACTCTCATCAGATCTTGAATCCAGCAAGCAGGCAGGCATGGTATGTTGGTAGGCTGCCACAGTGAACCATACTATTAAATATAGTAGACTAAGAAACATAAAGAAATGGTAGAATTGCAGACGAAAGACTAACAAATAAATACAAATGACGAATTCAATGGAGACATCATAAGAGGAATGCTACTGAGAAAATATCGATTCGCGTGGATTATGGGCAGAACTGGGCAGAACCTTTGCTGTACGCACATGCTGGCTGCGTTGCTTGACAGAAAGAACCAAACGCAAAGTACATATTTCACTGCAGCTGAGAAAGGGAGAAGAAATCCAGGCACCAGGACATAGTATCTATGATGTGTAAAATGTGTGGGAGAAGTCGGGCCAAAGAACGCGGGCATATCTGTGGCTGATTTTAGGCTTCTTCTGAAATAGGTGGTTATCCATCCAACTATCAGCCTCTCAAATGCTTCCTACCTGAAGACACGCCTTTTCCGCAATCATCTTTCGATGTGCGTAAGCCGGAGCCAAAACCGGGGAGGATCCAAGCCCCAAGCACAAACGCCTTCTCCTCTCCGTCGATCAGCTTCTTGCATTCCGGATTGCCTTCTTCGATCAAACAGAGAAAGTCCTGGACTCCCAACTCCAAAGGAATCAAAAAGATACACAGCTTGCAGAGCTTGCTAAAAATGCAACATGGAAAAAACAAGCAGTTCCAGCAATGGCAGTCCCCGTCATCACCTTCTTTGATGATTCGTTCCCCAGGGAGAAAAGAGACCTCTTTCATGGCAAGCCTGAAGCTTCCCACAAGCTGCATGACTCAACAATGAAACTCTGCCGGATTCGCTTTTAAGTGTTTGAGGACGCAGCAAAACTACGTCAAAGTCTGCTTTCGCCAGCGAAGAGAACATGAATGACCTGCGATAGGGAAAAACAAGCCTGAAGCCGTCCGTATCCAGAAAGTGAGTTTTCAACATCGCACAACTGTGCCTGGACAGAATACGGCGTAGCCTTTCTGCCTGCTCCTGCCAAAGATACCAAATTGGCTATCACTCTATCAAGCTTTGGCAAATGTTTTTTCCTCTCTTGCCGTCCTCGGTCTTTGTGTGCTTTGGTGGATCAAAAGGTTTCTTCTGATTCCAAGAGCCTCAAAGGGCAAGGACCGAGCAAGGACAAAAGAAGCGTCAAAATAACCTGATTTTTTATCAGCAAGAGCGTTCCGGAACAACGATTCAAGTACTGTAAACTGTAAAGCAACCAATTGAGGTGCAGCGTGCACCGCAAATCATTTGCCAACAGTCTGATTAAAAGAGTCGAGGGTCCATAAGCCTCAGCACTCACCGAGGCTCGCTGCCTGAGCTTGAAATCGGAAAGCAAAAACCAAGGGCTCAAGGCTCAAGGATGAACTTATTTTTTCATGTTTGTTCATGTTTGTTCATGTTTGTTCATGTTTTTTCATGTTTTTTCCTTGTACTTTCCCTTCTGTCTTCAAGGTGTTCTTACTGGTTGTTCTGCACATGTTGTCATTGCTTGCCAGCTGGTGTCACTTTGGGCTGCATGTACTTCCGGCCTGGACATGCTAACAGGTGGTGGGGGAGGTTCATCTGGAGCATCGTCATCTTCCTCCTCGTCCTCGTCCTCGTCCTCGTCCTCCTCTTGCGCTTTTGCAACTTCCTGGAGCGGACACAGAGTTACAGCAGTTTCAGCATACATCTCCACGTCACCGGTGTGATTGGCTTCGTGGCTTAGTCATGTTTGATTCTTTTTGGCCAAGAATGCAAAGCAGTGTGGCAGCCTCAACCTGGTACAGTTGGCTGTATCTGCAACATTATGTTTTGCTGCTGGAAGGATGATGCATCGCTACGCTACACATCACACTGTTCAGTGACCCGTCATGCCGCGTATATCCGTGCTTGCTACACTTTCCCTGGTGGCTCATTGACCATGAACAACATTTCTCAGCTTCGGTTTAAATATATCTATATAAATATCATTTAAATAAATATCTTTAAATTGCAGAACACGGACAAGTGAAGGATCAAAAGCAGCTTTATCTGTCAGTGTCCATTTCAAGCAGAGACATTGCCTGGAACCCTTCCATTTTTACATGGAACCTCTTAGAACCTGCCAGAAATTCTTTGCTGTCAGAAGTCTTGGAACCTTCCAGAACCCTGACTTCGGATATTTGAGTGGAACAACTAACTAGCAACCTTTGACTTTTTTTTGGCTGCAAGCTTCGGGAACACTGGGAGCTCTGCTCAAGAACATCGCGAACCTCAAGGATCTTCGGAACCCTCTTGAACCCTGGGCTGTGGCTGCTCAACAAAAAACTCAAACATATTCTATGGCTGAAAATCCTGTACAAGCTTCCACTGTTGGTGGAAAGAATCCACTCTCGAACCCATAATCCTAAGGACTTTTTGGTCTAGTAGACTTGAAGACATTGAGCGAATCACAATAGGACACAGTAGAAACATGTTAAAATATATTAAAATTAGAATTGCAAAATAAATTGAAATTGCTACAGTGCTAGTTTAGTATGGTATGGAGCATTTGGCCTTGGGATATGAGTTTGGCATTTCTCTGCCCCATGTTGTGGGAAGGGAAATGATAGAAATTCTCTGTGTTTGAATGGCGGAATCACTTTCAATCCCAAATGATGGAATGCGTTGGCTTTTGCTTACAATAAGTAGTCAGTTGCTCAGCTTGCAGTCGCACGAGAAAGAAGGCAAAGCAGCATGCCCTGAATCCACTCTCGGAATACAGGCCAGTCCTTTCGTTCACAATCGGCTTTTGTTGCAACCTCAACACTCTGGCATAGACCGGATAATAACTTTCGATAACTTGGGCTGGTGGTCCACTGGCTCTGGTGAATCTTCGTAAAATCCCTGAGGCTGTGGCTATAACGCCTACATCTTGCAGAAAATCCTGCATTTGCGCCACTTGTTTCTTCAAATGAAGATTTGTCCTTGGCTCCAAATCCACCAGACTAAGACTTGTATTGCAAAGTTTTTGCGGCTACTTCTTGGTACTTTAAGATATGTTGAATGATGTTGAAGGTATCTAGGTGCAAACGATGGCTGACACACAGGAAATCTCCGTCTCAAACCGAGAGCATGTTCCAAGGCTCGCTTGCAAAGACAAGTGTTTCGGGTGATCGGAATCTGAAAGAGCTTGCTGTTTGCGTAGGAAGCCAATCAGAAAATCCTTAGTGAGGTTACTTAGTGAGGTTGCTGTTTGCGGTTGCCTGGAGAAACACGTCGAAGGCACTGAAAGCGAATGTTGCTGATTGCCAGTCGCCACTCAAACTCTTTCGTGCAGTTGTGAGTCCAAAGGTTTTTCAGGTGCAGCTGCCTGAGTCAAGAGGCACAGCCATGTTGAGTATGAAAGTATGAAGAGTAAAATCAGATGAGAACAGTTTTACAAAGAAAACAGAACAAACATTCTGCTCTGCAAACTTCAACAAATCTTCCCTGTTAAGATGCAATGGCAGCCCAGACAAGAGTTTCAAGCGCAGGATCCAGGACCTCGAGAATATACTCCTTGGCCGCGCGTGGCAAAGTTAGTTTCATTGTACACTATATACTCTGTAATGTCCGCCGACCCTGGCCTTCGCCAAGGCCGGGGCGGCGCCTGGGACCACCGGAGGTGTGGATCCTGTCTTTCTTGAACCCTTGCCACGCCCACACTGCAGGCAAACGCCACCACAAGGCCACCGCAATGGCTCAAGAGCACCCCACGGCCGCAGCAATGGCTTCTTTTATAGGCTGCCGTTTGCGAAGCCTCAAACCCTCCAAACCTTCCAACTCCTCCAAAAGTTTGCCCACCTCCGCAGGGAAAAGGCAAGGCACCCCACGGCCGCAGCAATGGCTTCTTTTATAAGCGTTCAAGGCTGCCAACCGCGCAGGCATAAGCTACCCCAAGGCCAGATCCATCGTTTCTTCTCAGCGCGGTCCATGCCAACAGGCACCCCAAGGCCACAACAATGGCTTCTTAGGCTTCTTATGGGCGTCCAAGCCTGCCGTTTGCCAGCCCTTAAACCCCTAAAACCCCTAAAACCCCTGGCTTCTTAGGCTTCTTATGGGCGTCCAAGCCTGCCGTTTGCCAGCCCTTAAACCCCTAAAACCCCTAAAACGCCTAAAACCCCTAAAACCCTTAAAACTGTTGAAACTCTGCCACAGCGTATGGGACGCCCAACCGCGCAGCTTAAAACCGTTAAAACTCTGTCCAAGCGTCTGGGATGCCCAACCGCGCAGGCATAAGCTACCCCAAGGCCAGATCCATCGTTTCTTCTCAGCGCGGTCCATGCCAACAGGCACCCCAAGGCCACAACAATGGCTTCTTAGGCTTCTTATGGGCGTCCAAGCCTGCCGTTTGCCAGCCCTTAAACCCCTAAAACCCCTAAAACCGCCAGCCATAATAAACCTGGCCAGCGTCTGGGATGCCCAACCGCGCAGGCATAAGCTACCCCAAGGCCAGATCCATCGTTTCTTCTCAGCGCGGTCCATGCCAACCTGCCGTTTGCCAGCCTTTAAACCCCAAGGCCATGAAACTCTGCCACAGCGTATGGGACGCCCAACCGCGCAGCTTAAAACCGTTAAAACTCTGTCCAAGCGTCTGGGATGCCCAACCGCGCAGGCATAAGCTACCCCAAGGCCAGATCCATCGTTTCTTCTCAGCGCGGTCCATGCCAACAGGCACCCCAAGGCAACAATGGCTTCTTAGGCTTCTTATGGGCGTCCAAGCCTGCCGTTTGCCAGCCCTTAAACCCCTAAAACCCCTAAAACCCTTACAACTGTTGAAACTCTGCCACAGCGTATGGGACGCCCAATCGCGCAGCTTTAGACCGTTAAAACTCTGTCCAAGCGTCTGGGATGCCCAACCGCGCAGGCATAAGCTACCCCAAGGCCAGATCCATCGTTTCTTCTCAGCGCGGTCCATGCCAACAGGCACCCCAAGGCCACAACAATGGCTTCTTAGGCTTCTTATGGGCGTCCAAGCCTGCCGTTTGCCAGCCCTTAAACCCCTAAAACCCCTAAAACCCCTAAAACCAGACCACCCCCAATAGGGGGGTCGGCGGCACCAGGGCGCTAGCCCATTCTATATTTTGTAATATGCTGTGATATGGGTATGGCTCAAAAAACGGGTATGGATCGTTTCGGGGTGATCTGGACGTATGGAACGAGTGAGTTACGTATAAGAGGTTTGATCCCGAACTGTTCTGAAGGTATTCTGAAGTGGCCTGGTATAAGTACAACTTGTCATTTTTGGGTACGGATCAAGAGTATGGATCATAGTGCTGTGGGTTGTATGGATCATGGGTGTGGATCGGGGCTATGTATCACCCAGGGTATGATCGGGGCCTTACATTTTGAGCCACAGCCATATGTCAAATGAAATATGAAGTAGGATGCGTATTTTAAATATATATATATATAGGGTGTGTATAATACATCGTAAAGTCATACGGTACTTATATTTTGGCGTCCCTTTGCTGTAGGTATCAAGACACAGTGAAAGCTTTGTTCAATGTTGTTCCATTCTCTTCCAATATACCAGTACTTGAGCAAACCATTTGCCTTTTCTATCTGTTCCTGTTCGTTCCTGAATTGCAAACAGGAGTCCTTTCTTTCGTCGGAGAACGATAAGCTCTCCACAGCAGCTTTTGCCGAAGACATGGCGGTGTCAGCATTGGAGGCCATCGAATGGCCATGTGGCAGCAAGTCCAACTCTTTTGAGAGACACGTGCACTAAATCTGCGCTACAGGTGCACTCTATATTAAAAAAATAAAACATGTCGAAATTTTTGAAGCTGCCCTGGCAAAACCAATGGATACCCACTGGTGTGATGTGTTCAGGGAACCAAATTGCCCCTGAACATATCTCAGTGCAGCAGCATGGGACTTGAGAAAATATGAGAAAACTCCCCCCGCCTACAAACGTCTCCAAACCACACTGCATTTCAACAACAATGAAGAGTGCAATGGAGCATAGGACGTATGCGTATGGAAGAGTTATATATAGCTCGTTTCACATGTTCCGTCTATCATTTATGATCCTTGCTGGATGCTGTAGCCGTAAGCAGACGTGGAGAAGATTGGATATTGGCAAAGAAAAACTGGCCGGTTCAAGTTCTGTGCCACTCGCCAGGCTAGATCGGAAAAGCTTATTGTTGCCAGTACATTTTTTGAAACGGGTTTCAATTCGGTAGTGTTGAAATGTCATTTTCCATTGGAACCAGCGAGGAAGTGCATACTCATTCCAGGAAGATATTTTGCGCTGGACTAGTCTGGAGACTGGGCATTGCTTATGAAGCCCCTGTAGTCACACACTCTCTGCCTCCCAGGTGATGTTGTATGCTTTCCGGCGTGAAAGATGCTGGACCACCTGGAACAAGGACTGGCTGAAAGATATTGAAAGATTCTGAAATTCTGATGTTGAAAATGCTGATGTTTGAGAGCAACGAAAGACTGGAATGCGTCGAAAGAATCTGTTCATTGTGTCTATAATGCCGCCATTGTGCTGTCAGAGCTCAGTGGGCCGGCCTTGACTAAACAGTTGGTGACATACTCGAAGGTGTGGATATCATCGTTGTGCAAAAGCACTCTCCACCACCTTGGAAATCCAACAGCTGCCTTGCAGGCGCTTTACCCAGCTCTTCTTGTTCTACACATAGTTCAGCTTTCACTCCCCCCAATTTCCAGCAAAATCCAAGCTACAACATTGTTGATATGTAAAGACAGTCTCTGACTGGGATACGGACTTCTCTTTCTCAAACTGCTCCTGGCCGATCACACGACAAGATTCGCCCCTTTTTTCTAGGATGCCTTGCATTTGACGACAACCCCAAGATACCCAAAGTGTGCGGCCTTCATCTGCGTCTTTCTGTCCACCTGCATCAGCAAGATTTTTGCTGCGCCATCAGCCCATCTCGCAGTGCCCAATGCCATGCAATGCCATGTAATGCCATGCAATGCCGGGCCTTCTCAATCACTGCAATGCCTGCATCTGGAAGGTCTGGTTGCCCTTGAGCGCGACGAGCGACTCTTAGAGAACCTGAACAGTGTTATCCCTGAATCATTTGAAGTGAAGGTTGCAAATGGCTAAGAACCACAAGCAACATCAAGCAACATGTAAACTGAATGGTATGTGAAGCAAACTGACTCATCAGTGCTTTGTACAGGAAGATTGAAGCCTTTGACAGCAGGGCTCGATGCAAACGTCAGCAAACCCTGGCGTGAGAGTTTTCTGTCTTTTCATCATAATTTGATCAATTTAGACTCAAAGTATCGGAAGCTCGAATAGTGTATCTGAGTATCCCGCCTCTGCGAAGAAAGCAGCGACCAGGCTCAGCCTTGCACGACCCTTCTATATGCACGCTGCAGTTGACGCTTTACACAATATTCATGTGTATATATATACATAATATATATGTATATATATATATGTGTATATATATATGTATATATATGTATATATATATATGTGTATATATATATATGTATATATATATGTATATATATATGTATATGTGTGTGATATGTGTGTGTACATGTAGAATTGTATGAAGAAAGACAAATCTCCTGTTCTGTAGGCCCAGACAAAGCAAGCAGCGAAAGCCTTTTTGAGGCGCGAGGCCTCCGTTCTACCTTCCAAACACCCGAGGGCTCTGAAACTTCGTACATTTGGTAGATGGGGTCTGAAGGGCAGGATTGGTACTGGCAACTATTAGAAAAAAACAGAAAAAAGGCTTGATCTTAAGACTTCGCAGTGCCACCTCGAATTGAATGGAGGAAACAAGAACAGCCATTGTGTGCTTCAAGAATAAGAATCCGACCATGGCGCCAAGGACACAGCAAGCTGCAATTACAAAAATCCTTGAGACCAAACGGCCAAACGGCATAGGAAATGTGGCACGGCGACAAGGCGGGCAAGCTGGAAGCTTGCGGAAGCTTACGATGGCCTTAAAGTTCAATCTGCAAGGTCAGCACATCTTTGAGGCAACAAAATAATAGGAAGAGGGTCTCAAGCATGAATCACAATGAGTGTGTTCTTTTTGTAAGCAGCAAAGAGAGACAAACGATGTGACATGTGGCCTGCGAATTTGGTGGGGTACGGGCAGCCGACCTGCATTGTTGAAGTCAGAATCGTGCACCAAAAAGTGCCCACTTTGCCGAGTGCAAAAGGTTCCAAGGGTAGGACATTCCGTCTGCCAAAAAGCCTGACGAGTCAGAAAGACCTTATTCTGATATAGTTTCAAACATTTCCAAAGTCCACCACCAGTTTTGCCACTCTTGGTTCAAACAAACGCTTGACTTTGGTAGCTACCACCTTCTGATGAGGTGACAACTTCAGCGAAACACTGCAATGGTCCTGCATCCATCTGTACAACTCTGTACTTCCATTAGTTCATTCTGTGACATTCTATAGATTCAGATTCTATTCAAAAAAAGCCAGGGTCCATCTGTGTCTGCACGAAGATGCACGAAGCACAAAGTTTCGCCAAGTTTCGCCTGCACCTGCAAGTGTGCCCTTTACCTCGTGTTCCAGCATCTCCGCTAGGGACAAAATTTGATGCACCTCAAGCCGCGGGGGTCAAGCTTGCAGCCACCCAAACATTTAGAATTTAGACATATTTAGACGGTAGACGATTGCAACGGTCATGAAATTACATGAAAACAGAAAGAGCGACACAACTCTGCACATTTTTGTTGCCAGCAAGAGCTGCATGTCTTACTCTACAAGCATGTCACTTTTTCTAAACTGGTCGCAGGGGCCACGAAACACAGCTTTATAAGCAATGGAAATAAAGCCTTATAGATCAGGTGTTTTTTCCTGTAAGAAAAAGTGCAGCTTGAAACCTGGAAACTAATAGAAACTGCAAGGATGAAATGTCAGTTTATCTGACACCAGCTCCCTACGTGCTGAAGGTTCGACATTTCAAGTATCTTCATTGACCTATCCTGCGAGGTTGAGCTCCTATGAGGGCAATGGCAATCACAGAAGTTAGTAGCAGTGTGCTGCAAATGGCGAAGGACGTCTTCAGCCTCAGCAGCTCCAAAGACATTTGCGTTCCATAGTTGCTTTAAAAGACTTTGCTGGCATACCGCATAGCCCATGACAATTAAGAGGATGAAATAAAGAATAGTGCTACTTGAATACTCAAAGGTGCAAGAATTATACAGTTGAGACCAAACTACTAGAAGGTCCTGGTGAGGATATGTTGCGAGACTGATGGAAGCAAGAAGTGTCGTCGAGATGGAGAAAATCCAGAAGACTGTCCACAAGCCAGGCAACTCAAGATCTCCAAGTAGAAGTAGTACAACGCAAAGGTTGAGCGGCACACGATACACCTGAAGTATCTATCTCAAAAGAGTGTCTCAGCATTGCTATCATAGACTCTGAATATTTCCAAATGCTATATATCTCCCAGAATCTCACATGTCATGTTCATCCAAGTTGCATTGTACACGCCAGCACGTGCCTCTTCTGGAACAATTTGGCTTTTGACTGTGCTCACACATGGAAAGTACGCTCCGACCTCAGAAAAAGATTGTGTGTGTGAAAGAGATTGTGTGTGTGACTTGTGTGCTGTGTTTGGGACGTTTGTGATGCCGATAGATGAGGAGCTGGCACAAGCTTCAAACGCGAGGAAGCCAAAGAATATGGTGGCTTCACCTCAATATCAACACATATACACCATGCAACTGTTCACACTCTTGGAACAATTCAACAAAGGCGACAGGTTAGAACATCGAACCCAAGAATTTCCAAAGGATCTGTGAAAGGTCAAACCTTTCAACCATGATGCTGTAAGTTGTAAACAAGGAAGCCGCGACTGCTCCCAATGAAAGAGCTGCTGCGAGACAAACAGGCCACAAAACCTGCAGAGGGCTTGCAAAAAACTTTGGTATAGAGAAAGGATGAGAAAGTGACCCTACAAAGCACTAGAACTTCGGTGCGCAGCATGAGTGCCTTGATTGGCGAGATTGACTCGTCTAGCAAGTTGAAGACGGAGGATCCACACATGCAAGCCATCCTAAATTCAAAGATCAAGAGACCCAGAGAATGGACCATTGGATAAATGCGTGGATCGTAAATTTGGCGGGTGTTTACTGTAGGATTCTGAATACCACAGAATCCTAACCTTAGAAGCAAAGCACGATCTGACTTGCTGCCAGGGCTTCATAAACGCACTGAATATTAGACCATGCGGAGGAGTGGTGGAGGAGCAAGAATCTAGTGCTGGAGTCCAATTGAAGACAAAGACGTACCTTCACCACATGGCAAGTGACGATTGAACACCTGTACAACCAATCTTCGCAAGATCCAATTAATCCAATGGACTGAATCAGCTGACTGGGCTGAATGGGCTCCCTAGACCTTCCGAGTCTAAAATCGTCTCAAAGCTTCCAATAGAACAACTGCGGTAACTGCAGTAATGGTTGACTCTGCACCAAGTTCAAGCGAGTGACATGGAGCTCTCAAAGGCGGCTACAGCCAACCCAAGCAATGGCACGCGCCAGTCAGAAGCCAAGGCATGGCATCCTGCCTGACGACTACAACAGAATCAGAAGAGATTCCTGTGACATTCCAGATAGGTTTCAAACGGAAAGTGTCCTGGACTCCAGTCCACTTTTCAGTGGTACGCGGCTTATATTGACCAGCAGCTCCCAAAATCACAGCTTGAAATGAACCAGGTTTCAAGGTTGGCGTTTCAGATTCCCTCTCGTCAAGACAGAGACCAAGTGCAAGTGACAAGACTGCCTGGAAGGATACCCCGATCTGAGAGAGACCAGCAACCCCTGGCTCAAAGATTGAAACTCCACTCAATCAAACCAATCAAATCAACAGCCTCACATGCCCCACATTCGACGCAGGAGTTGGAATTCGAAGTCTGTGAAAATCACAAGGCAAATTGAGCTCGAAGAGCTGAGCGATTGCCCACCTTCGCTGCTATCAGTTTGCTCTCCATAGTTTTCCTCCCAACACCCATGGTTTTAACATGAGCGCAACACGGGAAGGATGCAAAGAGCTTATCCAATTTCAACCAAATGAACAGAGGAAGCGAAGAAGCAGACGAATCTGCAACAAAGCACATCAGTTTCACTCAACAAAGCGAAGGTCAAAGAACATTTAAAAAGTCATCCATGAACCTCCTGCCTGCCATAGAAAATGTATTGTAGGCGCAGCAGTCAGGAGAAAGACCAAAGACAAATCGAATGGAGTTGTTGAGCCTCCGTACCAAATCGAATCTGTAAATTGCATCAAAGGCATAGACGATGCTGCAAATTGTGCCAACCAACCGGCGCCAATAGCAGCAAGGTATTGAACCTGCAAGCAATAAGAAACTCAAGCTGCCTCAAGAACCTACAAAGAAAGGCATTACCAGTCACAAAGCAGATTTCTCAGAAATACTAGGATCCTTCGCATATCTTTTGAGAGACGCCCATATGTCATAATGCAGGAATTGTTTGCTTTTGCTTTATACAGCTCAGCATGCTCAGCTCACAGGTTAAATAAGCTTGTGATAATTGGCAAGCAAGGCTCGAAGAACATGAGTCCAAACATATATCGAAGTAGATGGTCTGGGAAACCACATCGCTTGTGCTCGCCGACCATCCAGCATTCAAACGTGCTGAATAACAGAGACGTTGCTGCCCCACCAAGGAGTCGACCAATCATCAGGACTCCGTAAACATTCACGTGCTTGGTCAAACAAGCCAGTGCATACAGTATGCAGTACAAAATCGCACAAAATTTGCGACCCCAAGCATCTGCCACAGATCCAATAAAAGTGCCAGTAATCATTGAAGAGGCAAATCCAGCCACAAAAAGCTGAGCAATCTCGGCTTTGCTCCATCCATATGATGCGTACAACTCATAAACGTAGGGTCCCTGCAACCAGTCCGCCGTAATGGCCAGAAACCAAACCAGAAGATATTGGAATTCGAAAGTTCGAAAGCCTCTGATGTTGGTGTCAGATTGCTTCACATCTGCTGTAGGGGCTGTTGGTCTGGTTTGCCACGCTAAAAAACCGGTTGCTGCCAAAAGTGGCACAGAGGTGCCTGTGTACAGGTCACCAAACCTTGGAGCCGAGATGAGCCAAGTCTTAGAGGATCAGAAAGTGTGATTTATTGCTCGACTGTGACTTGACTACAAACAAATCTGCATCTAAGTCTTGGTCATTACTGTCCACAAGGAATCATGTGGACGCACGGAAGCGCTTTCAAAGCAAAAGAAGAATGCAAGTTCTACCATGTTCTACCATGTTCTACCATGTTCTACCATGTTCTACCATGTTCTACCATGTTCTACCATGTTCTACCATGTTCTACCATGTTCTACCATGTTCTACCAACCATCTCACTCGAAAGTGCTTCACCTGAGACTTGGACATGCTCGACATCAAATCAGACTGGACAGCCATAGGCTCAACTGCCGCATGCTGCAAAGATCTGCTTACGCTGTCAGAGCTTGTTCCACTTGCACCTTTCAGGAAGGCAGCTGTGCTGTGCTAATCTGCTAATATTTTTTTCTTCTTCACAAGCCTCGATCTCCTTGGGTATCCAGCCACAACCTTCGAACTGTAGAATATCCATGCACTGGTCACAAATGAAGGCCTTTCGAGTTTTTTCCCTGAACTTGTGATTCGTCAGAAGAATTCTAGCCGCGTACCGAAAGCCAAAAGCTGTATCAAAATAAATGAAACCTCCTCACATAGGTTTTGGCCAGAAAGCTTCAAGGGTGTATATCTATACTACAGCATATACAATATCATGTGTATATATTTATATATATATATATGTATATATATATGTATATATATATATATGTATATATATATATATGTATATATATATGTATATATATATGTATATATATATATTTATTATATTATATGTATGATGTGTATAACCTTTCCTGGGATGAGCTTATGTTTTTCTTCTCTCTGTTGGCAAGATCCTCGGAATGCAGGTCGTCTTGAATTGCGTGGTTCCGTATGCGAATTGTGAGCTCGTCTCTTGGCTCCCTCCACTGTGGCGATGTAAGTATGTCTGTGTGCTAGTGGGGTGTCTCTTGTGGAGTGTCTTGTGGAGTGTGTTTTCGGTGTGTGGAACCAGTCTTGATCAAACATGTCCGCATTGAGTCCTCAGGATGAGTGCAGTTGGTATTACTTCCAGGTCAGGATCCACTACAGAAAGACTAGAAAGCACAACTAAGGATTTCCAAAACATTGGAAGGCTGCTTCAAAGTTTTTTGATCTGAGGTTTGCTGCTTCCTGGACCGACTGGCTGCATACTGGAGCATGTTGCTGCAAAAATGACCAAGCCTGATACTCGCCAGCTGTGAGTGCTTGCCCAGGCTACGGTTGCAAGAATACAAGCAGCCTGGAGGTGGACCCATGGTTGGCAAGAAAACAGCTATGGCGCTGTACTATGCTTTACTGTTGAAAAAAGTCTACTCTAAGACCACACAACCTGGAAAAGATGTCACCTGCCAATATCACCATCACTTACAGCCTGCAGCATTCTGTAGTTTATTGATGTTTATTGTATGCTCTGGCACAGGTGCTTGACTCGAAAAGCCGCCACCAGTACCCTACCCGGTGTCCAGGACAGGTGGGACAGTCAAAGTTGCTGCTTACCAGCTATCAAATTGTTTACTATCAAAACTCAAGCGGCTTGGGGGCGTTAAAAAGGGGGGCAAACGTTCAGCATGAAAATAGTTCCCCGCAACCCCTTGGTTCGCCCCCCCATACAAAGGCAAACACTCAAGGAAGGATGTCCACATCTTCTCAGGTTTATTTCGCGCGGCATGAAAAACACTTTATTTTGTTCGCTTTTGTTAGTCATGTTAATCTGGGCTTTGGTCGTAGGGTTTTAGATAGTTTCAGGTCCAGGGTTGCAGGGGGGAGTTTGGGGTTTTGGGTTTGTAGGGTTCACTTTTAAAAGTTTACTTAGTAATTTCCTGCGAGAAAACCGCGGGGAAAATGTGCGATATGCAAATATAGCCATGATGACTGCCAGGCAAACCTAGGGCCTAGGGGTTGTAGCAAATTAGTTAAGGCAGTTAAGGTTAAAGGCTTTTGGAGAGATTTAACAGGGTCGAAAAAAGTAAAACTTCTGGTTCTGCTCCATGCTTCCAAGGGATTTCTGGCTCTGGTGAAGGACAACCGTTGCATATGCAACGGCATTGCAAAGGGTCTCCACAAAATCAAAATTGACCAATTGCTGAAACTTGAGCCAAGGCCTGCACTGTCACCCACTGAGGTTTAACAGGTTTGCTGCTTCAAACTGCAAGAGATTGCAAGAGTCAAAAAAAGTTGAGGAGTTTGCTGAATTGAATGTAGTTTTTTATGTTTCTGTTTTCATGTCTGAAGAGCTCAGGAGTGAATCTGTTCAGTGCCGAGATTCTGGCAACAGGATCAGGCAGGCGAGCATCAGCAGCAGCCTGTTTCAGCACACTACTTGGACTCAGGTCAAGACAGTCAGCTGACAGTCAGCCGAACTCACGCTGGACAGAATGCAAGGGCGGCACTGAATTGCAGTATCCACAACCAACCACCATGTCACCATGGCCAATGAACTACCCCTCGAGGTTCAGACAGCTTCATCCGGTATCATTTGATTCCTTTCCAACGAAAACTGAAGCCAGACCTGTATCTGGTGTCGAAAGGAAGCAATGCTTCTAAGGACCTTGCATGCAACATCAATGCTTTCATCGCAAAGTATGTTTGGGCCACAAACAGCTAACACTTTAACACTGCTGTGACGCTGTGTGACATCGCCCTTTACGTCAGAGGTAAGCGGAATCCCGGCACTTGACAGTTGCCTTCAAAAAGGCAGAATGGCAAGCATCTCGGTCAGCAAGATCCTCAATCCAAGAAGCAAGGCAGGGCCACAACGGTCAGAGCTGTCCGTGGATGTTGTCACCAGGTGTTTTTTAATGAACACGCGGATTCAACCTGAGACTTGCACACCTATTTGAGCTTGTCCCTGAATGTCCAGAACACCTGCACCCAAAACAAATCGGACTGCAAGCGCTCGCATGTGGAAATCCATAGTTGATGGTTCGATTCGGTGTCAGTCTAAATCCTATGTGTGTGTGTATATATATATATATTATGTATATATATAGAGAGAGAGATGTCACTTATCTTGCATGAAAGAATCCAACGTCTATGGAAAGCTGAGAATTGCTGCCCTTTGAGGCCCAGCCTCGGTTCAGGTGCAGTGCAGTCGAAGGTGTTCGAGCACTACCCAACTGACAGGGACAAAAGGCAGAGTCTTGACATGACAGCCACGACATGCCACGACATGCCACGACATGCCACGACATGCCACGATATCCCATCCAAATTGACTTGCCCCTCATCTCGAGATGCCATGAAGCAACAGCTCCAAATCATCTCGAGTAAGGACAAGACACAAAGGGAAAAAGCTTGTGACAGGCATCTGAACAGAACAGGGCATCTTGTAGCACGACAAGGCCTGCTAAGAGTTCAAGGAGGAACAAGCTTGGAACGTGAGACTGGCCAGCCAGCCATTCTTCTGAGCCTTTTTTCTCCCGGCTCACTGTACCAAGCTTGCCCTTGATGCAGAGGCATGTTCAAACTGATCTGTGTACAGTATGTACAGTCCAGACATCAGACATCTCCAGACTCAAATGGTGCTTGAATCTGCGGTGCTATAGAACAGAGAATCTGCACTGTAGGTTCTTTATGGTTCTTTCACTATCAGAACACCAAGCGGGCTCCACCTTGGGGCATACTGTCCGTTAGTCCAAAGAAGAGAAGTGACGAGAAGTGACCAGAGTGACCTGTAGTCATAGAAATGTTCTGGTTTTCTCCACGTTTTCGCAGCTGAAATTCCAAAAATGGACAGACCAAAACTGCTACTTTCATCCATGTCGCATATTGACCTCAATACCTCATCGCATCCGTAGCTGGTCTTGGCGCTGACCAAAAAGGCCTTGTTCGGTGGAAAAGGTGACTGTAGAAACAGTTCCATGCTTGCAAGATCCAGCAAACAAACCATTCAGAATGGTTTGTTTGATCCTATTTCACCATTTTCACCCTGCCTTGCACTGGCGAACTGCCTTTGAGACAGCACATGCGGCAGCTGCTGCACTGCATTTAGCCTACGCTGGCAATCTTGATGGGAAAGGTTCTGATGAACCTGGTTGGATTCCTGCTTATGAAATCCTATGAAAAAGAAAGAAACAACAGTATCGTTGTATCATGCAGACTGGATAAAAAATGTTCCACATGTGTCAAGTCTCCATAGAAACCTGACCTGCTAGCAAGATCTAACAAGTATATATTCCATGCAATGCTTTGACCCAAATGGTGTCGGAACTCAAGACCTGATAGCAAGGTGCTCATTTGTGAATTCATCAGCTCCTAGGAACAATCGCAGATGTATATTTGTGCGAAAGACCTGGACTGCCCTTCTGTTGTACGATCTTCAGTATGTTTCCGTACAGTTTGTGGAAGCCTGTGGAAGCAGTATCAACAGATATCAACAGCATATGGCAGTATGATACGACTGATACGCAGGCCTGGACAACAGATCCATGGCTGTCAGCCATCTTTCCAGCTTCTTCTTCTTCAGGATCTGCATCTACCTGGAAGATGGGAATGCATGAAAATGGTCCAATACATCTATGGTAGCATGTAGTAATCACTAGTGTCTCCTCATGACATTGGTCATCAGCCTTTCCAAATGTAGATGATGTGTATCCAATGTTTTCTTGTGGTCAGAAGGCGAGAAAAAGTCTCAGACTTCGAGTTAGCAGTGACCGATTGATGAAATTCATGCACATCTGACAGGAATAGACAAATGCCATCTTGGAGGACTGGCTCTCAATGGCTCTCACCTTGTTCACCAACAGAACGACAGGTGCTCCTTCTGGAAGATGAGCAAGTGCCGCACTAAATGAATGCGTGAAAGCAACCTGCAGAATGCTTCAAGATGTTTCACGAGTCAAGAAATGTCAAGAAGTACAGTATCTCACAGTATCTCTGCTTTGTCCAAAGGAAGCATCAGGAATCCATGTTTTTCAGTTTATTTTTGGAATAAGAAAGAGGGGGACAACGTTCAAACGCAGAAAGGCTTCATCACTGCACTAGCCAATTATGTGTGCAAACAAACAACGCAAGCTTGGGAACAGGAAATTCCCTTGTGTCAAAGCCTGGACTTTTAATGCATTTGGGCAGCCTCGTCAAATTGCTCGCTTCCATCAACCACGAATGCGAGCACATCTGTAGCAGAAATGTGCCTGGTAGACAGAACAAAATAGAAGCATCGTAGAGTCTTTGCGTGGGAATCTGTGGGAATGACAATCTCATGTTTTACACTAAACTCAACATCAAATCTGATGTGTTGATTGCTTCCAAGGGTGCTCATCCCATAGACCGCGCGCAGATCCCAATGCCAGAATTTGCAGTTGCATCTTCTCAAAAGGTCGCTCAAGAGATTGCCAACCTGCTTGGAATGGAGGTTCCTTTGACTTCATGAAAATGAAACGATGAAAATTGAGAATCTGAGAAAGCTCTGATCTCGCAGGTATTTTGGACGGCCTTGACTCGTTAAAGGTTTTGACCCTCAAACACCGAATCCGAAATTTCTGGATCTTTGAACATGTCTGAACATGACTGAACCTGGATTGCTTGGCTGCTCCATGCTGTCCGTGGTCCAGCGACTAGCTAGAGACTTTGCTCCACTGCCCGGCATGCCAACCACCACCACCTTGACTTGTTTGAGATCTCCTCGGGGAAAACAACTGCACACAATTCGTGTGAACGTATTTTTTTCAGCCAAATTGTGCATGATATTTTTTCGAACCTCAATGACTGACCTTTTTTCGATGCCCGACCCATTTCCCATGTCCTCCATGAGCGCTCTGCGAAGACCCCATCCAGACTTTTGCAAAGTGGAAACGTGAAAAAAAAAACAAACAACATTTTGCGAATGGTCTAAAGATGTGTGTATTGGTTATAAAAGTGCCAAACAAAAAATATTCAAACACTTTTCTTCAAGGTATGATGCGGTTGCAACACACTGTGAAACATTGTTTACATTTTGCAATGTTTTGATGGTGCAACATACACTTTGCTGCTCGATTTTGTTGATGTTTCAGCCAATTGCTGCTCATTTCGGGAATGAAATTGATACAGAACTGTACGGTGAAAGAAACTGAAAAATTGTCACACATCATTTCGACATTTGTCCGCGCCTCAGAGGCCAAATTCCTTGAGCACGGTAAACACGGTGCTGTATCAGGAGATTGTCCAAAACCTTCAGGTCTCGGAACCTGGCGATTTGATTGGTGATTTTGTGACGTGCAGCAACGACTGACAGTTGCCAGATACATAACAAAAAATCAACATTCGCAAACAAACAGAAAAAAAATCAACCCCATAGCCACGACTTGTGTGATGCTGGAGGCGATGAAAATTGCATGATATTCAGTTGCCCTTCTTGAAAGATGAATGGCAGCATAGATCGGTGCATGCAACCAACAAGTTCCCAAAAAATCGCAAGTTGAGGGAGCAGTTAATGTGACAACAACATTGTTTTTGAATGTTTCAACTACAAATGATGCAAAGTTACTTTGATTTCAATGATGCTGTTTTAGTCTCAACAAAAGCGGCACCCGGTCGAGCAAAGCAAACAGCTGAATCGTAAGAACGTAAGTACACATCATCGTCAGCCAAAATCGACCCAATCCGCACAGGAAACAACGTATCCAAAATCAGCACGGCCAAATATAGCGAAAACGACTGAAATTCGATGTAGATTTGCCAAACCCACGTTTTGACTGAAAAAAATGGGAACGCACATGTTGAACACAAACATGAGAACCCATCGTTTACAAGCACACGCAATCGCAACCACCAACAATCCACTGACTAAAAACCAAACGCATGCCATACTGCAAATCTTTTTGGAACCGAAAGCGCCTCAAGAATGCACAGTCAATTGAACATGTCGTATGTGACATCAAACTGCTGTGAACTGCTATCTGCACATGAATGTCAACTGAGTCCAAGGTGAGTAAATAACAATCACCCCACCTCAGTTCGCAGCTTTGCTGCTTTACTGCCATTGCTCCTTAGGACTCTTGTCAGTCCGTGTTGTAGCTTCTATTGGAGCAGTTGTTTTGTGAAACTATTTCGACGCTGTTGCCAATGACGAGAGTCTTCTGTCTCATCCTAATGACAAACATCTGTGGCGTCATTGGAAAATTTGCCTCTCTCACTGTCTGAGTTCTTCAAAACTCTTGCAGCTCATCTGTTGTTGCGTTAGTGGTGTTCCTCGATGGCTGTCCATAATGTAGATCAGCCCATGCATCTGGGTCACTGACTTCTCCTTGTTCTGCATTTTGGTATCTTGTCATCCTCTCTGATCTTGTTTCCTCGCGCATTGACTCGTCTGAGTCGGGTTCTGCAGCTTCTGGTTCTTTGAAGATCTCTGCAAAGGTGCGTAAGAGATCCATTGTCACTTCAACCCTTTGAAGTTCCAGAAGTCTGATAATGCACCGGTGGACATCCTCATGGCTTGTTGAAAGGAGTCCACGTTCGTCTTCTCCAAGACCATATGTGGGTGAATTGTCATCATCTGACAAGTCGTACTCTTCGCTCAAGGCATTCAAAGTCTTTTCTCTGTCCTCTGAGCTTGCAGTTGGCAGGTGTTGTAAGCATCTTTCCAACCATAGTTGCATCTGCTGATACCTCATAGCTGCACCAATGTTTCCACTTTCACTGGCGCGACGTAGTCGTCCACGTACTCGAACAAATGTCCAAGTGACCAAACCTTCCAAGCTTGTGTATTCATGAGTCACCTGTGGGCCCATGAAGTTGGACAAAGTATCAGGCAACAGTGGTGGTGGACTGTATTTGAAGTCCATGCTTCGTCGCATCATGTACCATGAATACCCAACCAACAGCAAAGTCCAGGTCATCAGAAAAGCTGTTCCAAACCAAGAGCTGTGTGAGGTTGTAGAACTATCCAAGTTGCAACCTTGGAGTTGTGTGGCCATGAGGCCCTGTAGATTCACCATGGCCAAGTGGCCAAGTCTCATGCGGTGAGATCGGTTGTCCTCACCTTCTGTCATGTCCTTTGTAGGACTGCTTTCATGGCTGCTAATGTCATCGATTGTATTCAACATTTCTGTGGCGGCATCTCGATCAGCATCATTTGCAGCTCCAATGAAGTTCATGAAATCTGCAAGAAGTGCTCGACGTTGGTTGTAGGCTTGTGCACGAACTGCGTCACCAGCCTGTGTTGCATCCTCATAACGTCGATTGCACCTTTCGAACATCCAACTGATCATTCCCTCTGGAGAGAAAGCAGGAAAATCGTCAGTGTCTTCCGTGGTTTCTGTCATGATGCTTGCTGTATCAGCATCGTCAGAGCCATCCATGGAGTCAAAACTGGGGCTATCCGGCGTGCCCTTTCTGACATGTCTGCATTGTGACATCCAAAGCAGGTAAGCACCAAGAAGTCCAACCCATGCTGCTGTAAAAACGTAGGGGACTTCTAACATTTCTGTCGCCATTGCGTCACACCCTTGAAGTTGAAGGGTCAGCAGGCTCAAGGCGCCTATCAAAACTCGAAGTTGTGAATTGCGACTTGAAGTTGATGCAGCTTGCTGTGGAAAATGTCTGAAGATTCTTCCTGGGTCGTCTGATCCTACCAGTTGGTTTTGTGAGTGGCTCCAAAGCCCAAAGAGAAACATCAATGAGTCCAGCCTGGCAATTGAAAGTCGTTTTGTTGAGACATCTGCTGGATTGATTGTTCCCAAAACTGCTTTGACTTGCAACATCTTTTCAACAACTAAGTTCTGGAGCCAAAGTACCCTGCAGCTCAAATGCCTGAGTCTTCCAACACCTCGACGTGACAAGACTCCACGCGCTGCAGATGAATCCAAGTACAAGTACATGAGAATGCGGACTTGGAGCAACCAGCAAAGAATAGTTCTGATGAGAATTGCATCCATGACAGCTGAAGCGGCAGCATATGTTTCAGATTCAGCGCTCGAAAGTGACACGATCTTCTGGGTCCTCGAAGATGAGTAAATCAAACATCCTCCATAGAAGATTGCACTGCCAGAAACCGATCTGCGTGTGTTTCTGTCAGCAGCCCAGTCTGCGTCACTGAAGATTTCCAAAACAGGTTCTTCACATTCATAGTCGCGCAACAAACCTGTGTGCATGCCCTTCCATTTCAAAGAGACATATTGGTCAGAGTGACCTGCCATGTACCCAACCAGGTGCTTCAAGACCACCATAGCTTTGTGAGTGGGTTTTGATGCACATGTTGAGAGATACCTGATCACGTATTGACATTGCGGCAAATCTGGAGACAAGTACAGCAAGATCCCAATGCAAGATCGATACACTGAAGCATCATGTTGGTTCAGCTCCTCAGTGGTGTCTGGAGTCTCAATCTCGCTGTGGCCAGGAGATCTCTTGTTTTGCAAACGTTTTGACAAATGAAGTAACTTGCAAAGCTGATCCAAGTGTTTGGGATGGATTCGAATGATCATCCTCCCATCTGACATCAACTGGTGGGTTTTCTTCAAAAACGTCACCTCATCACCTGGTCCAGACATGATTTCAATGGAAATTGTGTACTTTGCCTGCAATGAAGGAATGAGTTCCTCTAAGACCGTCTTTCTGCATCCCACGATGAGAATGTCATCGATGTGCACCAACATCAAACAGTCACCTTTGGCTGAGCGCAACATTGACGGGTAGGCTTCATTCTCGGCCATTTTCAAGCTGCTACTTTCGAGAAACTTCACCAGATCTTTGTGCCATAAGAGGCTACCATCGCGTTGACCTGGCAGAACTCGGCCAAGACTGTAGGAAATTGAGATTCCACTTGCGTCAGTGCACCTGACACGTGTTGGCTGCTCTTGCGCAACTGTCAAGAAGGCATCCTTCACATCAATTGCAAGCATCAAGGTTTCTTGATGTTCCTTCAAAGCAAGAAAACAAATGGGCAAGATTCTTGTTGCAATGTTAGAGGAAGCCGGTGAGAATAAGGCTTCTCTGTCGGGTTGCAACCAAGTATATTCCCTTGCCACAAGTCTGCTTCTTCTCAACCAGATCGCATTGCCTGCATCATCCTTCTTTTCACGCCAAGTGCGCACAAAACGTGTGCTCAGGCACTTTGCGTCAGCAGGTAGGGTGTCTTCAAGCAAGACATGAAGACCAAACAAACGTTCAATCTCAACTTGGTCTGCAATGCTGTCCAGTCGTTGAAGTTCATCAGATTCAAGCTGTGGTTCTTGTGGACCATATGGAAAGCTGAGTTCTTTCATGCGGTTGCTGAGCTTTGAAACAGGTTCATATGGATCTTCATCAAGATTCAACTCATGTTGCAGCATGACATCAAAATCTTGGTCTTGTAGAACAACATCGGGTTCAATGTCCAAATGCTCGATTTGTCGCAGTTGTCCAAGCAAACTGACACTGCCTGGACCATCGCCATGCTTGGCAATCTTGTTGGGAGACATCATGTCTTCAAATGATGTGTCATCAACTAAATCACGTCCAGCTTCAGACTGTGGTGTCTGTGGCACAACATCTCCATGAGGCATCTGAGTGTCAACTGCTTCAGAGTGAAGACGCTTTGAATCCCCACCTGAGTCCTCATGTTCTGCATCGCGCTTATTAGATCTTGGTGCATCAGATGATGCTGCAGCTGTGCTTTGTTCAGGCACA